CCCTACATGCAGCGACAACCAGGGGTTTCGTCACCCCCCCCCTTCCAACGCGTCTGCATCGAGATGGAGTGGACCCATTTCCTGAAAGCGACGATAGATGCAGTCACATATAAGTCTAGACTCGCCAATCGGGTCGCAGATCGGCCTGGGGATGGATAAGTATCCCTGGCCACACTAACTCAGCCACTCTTCTTACCGAGTACTAACAAGCTCCTCGCTCCTCGCTCTTGAGCGGCGGAAGCAGGGGCATAAGTTCCCCGAGGAGCTGAAATCTTACTAGGTGCCTAGTCTAAATCGCTCTATCGAAGGACGATTGTGCACTGGTAATGACACCAGCCGACTATTCTTGCACGCGATTGTCGCGGTAGAGCTAGTAAAATGCAAGACCCTCTGACAGCTCCGTCATCACGCACAACATGTTGCCTGACGCTGGCGCTGGTGCTGGTGCAAATGCGGGTACCACTTTTTGTCTTCACCTGGGTGCAGGCGTAACCGGCTCGTCTATCATTAGTTGCAACTTTCTTTTGTACATCCTGCTCGCTTCCTCACCTTACCATTGGTGATAACTGTATCGCTACTTCTTTCTACCTTTACCTGCTGCACGTCAAACCAGGTACTGGAGCGACTGTACGTTTGCTGCAACGTGAAACGCCACCAGATCACGTAACTCCTAAAGTTCTACACTTCTTTTTAGGCTGACAGAGTTGGACGATCCTACATCTTGTCTTACTTGAGCCCTTCTCCTTCCTCTGCGTTCATTCTTCGAAAAAGCTCCATAGCCTTCTACACACAACTATTACCGCTATCCAACACATAGTAACAGCCACTCTTCCAAAGCCATGGACAGACCACAAGTCTCAATACCACCTGTAAGTCATTCCTACCATATCGCATTACAGCCTCACATATACTGACGCGCAAACGCTAGGCTGCGAATATCCTTGGTGTACGTTTCTCCACTTCACCCACGTTCCCCGACTTGCTTGCTTGAGTCATGATACTGACATACGATCTTCTCGTTCTGTAGACCCTCGGCACTGGTAAGTAACCCCGAGAACTTTTGTGGCTAAAAGAACCTATGCTAACTTGAGTAAAGTGTATGTAAACCCCCACGTCAAGCCTTTGCTTAAAACGAGGTGGTTGCTAACAGTCGATTGCAGTTGTTGGTGTATACAGATCATCCCACAGATATGGACAAACTGGCGGAAGAAGAGCACAGAAGGTCTTCCTGGCACCATGCTCATTCTCTGGTCGATATGTGAGTCTCCTCCGCCCCACCTCCTGCTCATCCTCGTCCGTGGTAGGAAGAACTAAGCTGACCCAAGAAAACTACAAAGGTGGCGTGCCATTTGGTGTCTACGCGATTGTCCAGAACTTCAACTTTGCTCTCAAATTCCAACCTCAAGCCTTCGCCTCCCTCACCTTGATCGCATGGGGTCAAACGCTCTACTACCACAACAAATGGCGTGTCTGGACCGCTACTCTGGCGACTATCGCTCTGGCTGCTAGCTTTGGTATCATGGAGCTCATTCTCATTCTCACCCTGCGCGGGCCATATTCCCGAGGCGTCGAATGGCCTATGATGTTGATGGCTATTTCCGCATCCGTCATCCAGGTCATCGGTCTCATTCCTCCGTACTTTGAACTTGCGAAGAGAAACGGTCGCGTTATCGGCATCGGTAAGTGACCCGCACGCCTTTTGCTTTATCCTCCTCGTTCCCTCGGTACGTTGAAACGCTTGTACTAATGCTCTTCTTCTGCGAAACAGACTTTTGGTTCCTAACCATCGACTACCTCGGCGCCTTCTTCTCCCTCATGGCTGTTGTCGCACAGCAGTGGTTCGATGCCCTCGGCGCCAGTCTCTACATTGCGTGCATGGCCCTCGAAACCGGTATCTTCGTTTCCCAGGCTATCTGGTTGTGGCGCGTACGCCATGTCCGCAAGGAGGCGAAAAAGGCGGGCAAGACGTACGATGAGTATGTCAAGGAGAACCAGGGAAAGAAGTTGCCGAGGTGTGGAAGTGAAGAGACATTCGTCGATGTCGAAGCGGGTTCCGGAGGCGTAGGGTGTGAAAAAAAGAAAACGACGATTGGAGGCGGGGAGTATGATGCTGGCAATGAAAAGGCCGACGTGAAAGCTTCCACGACACGAGAAGAAGGTCGCGATACGTTGACGGCGGATGCGACACCCGCAGCGACGTCGCCATCGACGCCGACTCCGATATTTGCATCGATGACGAGCGCGACATCGTCCGAAACACTCCAGACACCACCGGCTGCTGTCTTGAAGTCCAGCACATCTGGCTGATCGTTGTCGTTCTACTTGTTTTCTCCTTCTTTTTCATGATTGTCTTGGCTGCTTTGCGAAGAGCGGCAGGTTCCTCTCTTACTTCATGTCCCCTGTACGATACCTCATGATGCGACTACGGTGCAAAATATCCCCTTTTATTTCTTTTCCTCTTCGTCTTCGACGAGTAAAAGCTCTGCCTTCTCCTCTGGCAGGAGATCAAAAAAGCTGTTTCGGTATGTCCTCTTCTTACAAAGGTCGTCGGTTGGGCGGCTATCTGTCATTGGCTCTCTGTTAGGGGCTATGGAAAAGTGGGGTGCGGGATGGCATGGCACGTCACAACTTGTACGAGTAGGAGTGCATGATTAATAACATGGTTACTCTGACATTGTGCGATCGTCATGTAAGCTAGTGAAGTGTCTTCTCTCGGTATGATATTGAAATAGCTTACTCATGTCGCGGTTTTGTCCTACAGGCTCCTTACATCAAGCTGACACACGGTGGCAGGCGACTAAACCCGATGATTGAAAACATCATTCAAGGACCGTCTACACTACTCCTTCTCCATTTGAGCCTTGCCTCGCTGCTCCTTGTTCTCAGGACCAGGACGGTTAGTAGATACGGTACCCTTGAGTTTGGCAGTTTCAGCAACACCCTCACCCTTCTTGCTCATCTCTGGCTGCTTGGAGATTTGAGAGCTATGGTGAGTGTTGCCGTTGGAAAGACCCTCCTGCTTTCCAGACATGTAGTTGAAGCTCCTGGGCTTTCCACGAGGATCGGACTATTGGTACTTAGCATTAGTAACAAGAGAGGGGAGAATAAGTTCTTTGAACGAACCGGATCAGCCACGTCAGGGGATATCGCGCCTGGGTTCATGGCTTTTGACGAGTCTTTTGGTGAATGGCCTCTGAGGCCTATATCTTGGTCGGGCCTGCCGGCACCTGGGGCGCTGGGGTCGTCACCCTTGGTGATCCTGTGGCTGCGCATGTTTTCGTCATTCTCGCCTACCAACTTGCCAGGCTGTGTCGGATGCGCCTGGAGATTTGCTTCATGGTTGCGATGCGACAAGGGACGTAGGTCGTTGCTGAGAGCGAGATAGATACCGCCGACAGCCAGACCAAGACCTGCCATCCTAAAAATATACGTTATTTGAAGCTCAATTACCATTGCAGCAATCGGTTCATGGGAACTGTTATAATGGATGAAACGTACACCGTCACGTCACTCGTCTTTGCTTCGGGTTTACTGCCCATGCTGCCTATTGTCCTACGTTGAGCACCATTTTGCGATGGATGGAGTTGAAAGCTACGAGGACATTTCGTGGCCTGTTTGGTGCTTGCAGCGGAGGCTGCACGCTGCTTTGCAATTCGGAGTGGTTGCATGTTGAATTGAATTAGAGGTAGGTGTGGATTGAACTGAGCATGGCGGAATGATTGGTAGTTATCTTAGTGACATTTTGAAGCTCGGTACTAGCTACATCAAGTTATCGTCAGAGCGCGACAGATCATGCGTCATCGATTCATCGGAGTTATCGCCGTCAACTTGGAAAATTAGCAACGCAGCACGGGCGTCACTGAGCACCAGAAAACGTGACTGTTTGGGATTAGATGGTCGAATGAGGCTTTTGGGTGCATGCAGACGTATGTCTGTTGAGGGGTTTGGAAACTGAAGTGCAGGTTAGGGTAGTGGTTACGTCACATGTCGTTCACAGTGAGCCAGCAACGACGAGCTGCCGTCTCACCACATCTAAAACTTATACAGTATCCATGCACAAGAATACTCCTGAAGGGGGAATATTGCAGACCAAGAAACACATGTCGACTGGTGGTAATGTGTCCAGCAAGCCACTTCGTGAGCGAATCACAGAAGCGAGCTAGCTAGCCGTCACACGCGACGCGTGAACACACGCTTGAAAAGCAACAACAAACTTCCCATCCATCCAAACAATCTCATCCTCAAGAAACTTCCTTTTCGGTGGTCGATTTGCCAATGATGCAGGCTAACACGATACTGTCTGAGCAGTATCTCCTTCGTACAACGCTCCATACACTATCTTACGCAGACGACGCGGCGACTTTCCTTCCACGGCGCCATACTCCTCCAATGGATGCGAAATTCTAGCATTTGAAGAAAAGAAGTTGCGTCTTCTGATCGGAGGTCGGGTGTCCATATCTTTTATGCGACTCCTTTTCGCTTCGGTTGTGAATGGAAGAGCTTCTCCTAGGAATCTTTTCGGTGGATTACAAGACGAGCCGCACTATATAGTTAACGATGCGTTCTCCACGATATTGCGCATCTCTCTCAACGAACAGGCGTACACCACCCCTGCACTGGCTTCGCGTCGTGGACAGAATTAGCCAGGTGTGTGTAAATCAGCGTTTATTCGTCCGCATTGATCCTTCACACATACTTGGCACAATTTGGCGAACTCAGTGAGGCGCAGGCACGTCTGCGGTCAATCAAGGTTAAGCTTGATTCTGATTGGGCGGTGTCATTCGTTTTGGCTCTACCACGCCCTATTGTTCGTTTCCTGCTAAGCGAGAATATACGTCTACGCAGAAACGGAACGTCGTGATTTGTAAGTGTTTCCAGGTTTCTCGTATTTAGGTATCATGATATTAAAACCCTACGTCTCGTCATTGATCCACAGTCACAACTATCGATTTCTGTACTCCCATTCAACGATATCCTAGTCTGAGCATCTATCCATCACCATGACCTTACACGAAATTCGATTGTTTCACTCACCAGGGTCTTGCAGTACAGCTGCCCATATTCTGCTGAAAGAATCCGGACTTCCTTTCTCGACTGAGGTCATCAATGTCATGCAAGGCTTTCCCGCTGAGTTCCTCCATCTCAATCCAAAAGGCCGAGTACCTTTCCTGCATATGGACGGCGAGACAATCACCGAGATGCCAGCCATCATGACCGCCATCGCGCAACTGGTTCCCGACAAGAAGTTCCTTGGAAGCACGAATCTTGATATCGTGCGCTCTTACGAATGGTTCAACTTTCTTGCCGGAGATTTGCATGCGCAGGGCTTCTTCACCTTCTTCCGTCCACACTACTTCGCCGACGACGAGGCAACATATGATAGCATTAGAGAAAAGGGTCGCACGAAGATTTACAAGTGTTATGCGATCATCGAGGAGAAGCTCGAGGGGGTGCATGCAGTGGGGAGTGCGTTCTCGGCTGTCGATGCATATCTCCTGCCGTTTTATCGCTGGGGCACTGCGAACGAATTTGCGACGAAGGAGAGGTATCCAAAGTATACGAAGCTTGTGGAAAATTTGGCGGGGATGGAGAGTGTGAGGGCTGTGTGCGAAGCGGAGGGGATCGATCCGATGTTCGGGAGGCGACCGCAGTTGTAAGTCAGCATGATCGAAACATGAGATCATGTGTCATTGATCAGTATCCGACAAACAATGCGTAGTCTTACAATCTATAGTATCCTCTGGATTGGTTGAGGACATAAAGCTTCTTTGCCTTACTGAGTGGGCTCGAATTGAAATTCCGGTGGAATAATGGACCTCGCTTCGAGAAAACCTTCCGTTCTGCTCATAGAATGTAGAAGTCACTGTAAAACGCGGGGAAAACGGTCCCAGGTTCATGGGAAGCCGAGTCTTCGGACAAAACACGGTTGGAAAGCTTCAGGCGGTCTTTTCCGAAGGACGCAATAAACGAACTGCGTCTGGCGATGATGTTCGTGTATGCTGAGTCTGCGGAATTGCCGCGCGCCTCCAAGATATAGAGGCCAGGTTCCATCCCACCTGCTCGCGGCGGTAGACAAGTCACTAGAAACACACACGTGTTGATTAATCGATTTCTTCTCATTCAGATTACATCTCGCCGTCATCCGTCGCGAATGGCCTGGTATGTGCACATTAAGCTTATACATAATGCGCGTCGTGTATTGCGGGGCTTAACCATACGACAGCTGATAGTATGATGTGGGGGTGTTAATGTGGTGGCACAACGAACGCTACAATCTTTGCTGATGCGTCGTCTACCGCGTTGTCTACCGCAATGTCCTTGCAGGCTGGATCTGGTCAATGATGCTAAACCGGGTGCGACTGTTCGCCGATCATGGCAAGAAGTCGAGTGTTATCAGGGTGAGTTGGCGCAGACGGTCGACATGGGATAGACCGGGTCTAGAAACAAAAGGAATCCCACCAATCAACGCGTTGATTCGTGCGCATGCCAGCGGGCCGCAGCGGGAGCTACTCAACAGCCGGATAGCCGTCTGTCGCTCTTGCGCTGGTCTTAAGCGCTCGAGGGACAGGCTATGGCTAGTTCAAGTCTGGCATGTGCTGAGCAGTACCGGTTTTAGGGGCTCAACTGATATATCAGCAGACTTCTTGATGTGGAGTGACGATATAAACTATGCAACATGCACGAGCGCGGTTTGCATTCCAATAGGTAGATGCCACGTTGACCCGATGATCTTATTGTGAGCATCGTACAGCCTTCGCATGTACGATACCCTATCGCATCGTTCGCAGCAGCAACTAGCCTCGAGCGCGTCGCAGTCTGTAGCCGAAGATCCCAGTACACTTGCAGGCGCCGTGCATATAAGCGCTGCTACCGTATAATCATGCCATACGCGCGAAGCTCAGCATATCCGACTACATGGATTCACCGGAATACTTCATTGAAAATACTGCAGTCTTGATGAGTTGTGGGTGGATGATGCTGTTATCTCTAAGGACAAAAATCGCGTTGAGTACTTGTCAAACCCAATGAGATTTTCATCTTGTACACCATCAGTCTGCGAACGTATCGCTGCCTTGTCTGATCAAGAGCAATGTCAGTAATGTGCAGCAACTGACAGGGCGATCGATCGAGTGGTCCTTTCTCTAGCGTCCACTGACGTCGCTATCACGCCCCACATTGTGGCATAGTTGGTTCAACAAGGCTGTGCGCTCAGAATATCTATAAGTGGACCTCAAACAACTTCCAAGTTCAAAAATCACTAGATCCATAATCGACCGGTAACCTCATGGCCAAGGAACCAAGTTTAGGCCACGCGAGAGCTGATTCAGCCATGAACGAAATTGACCCGACCACAAAGACTATCATCACGGCGCAAGACTTCTGTAGTGCCGTGTCTTCTTTCGCATCTCACGACAGCGTCAAAGCACTCACAGAGGTTCTTGACCTTCTGCCGCAGCGAGAGAATGATATCATATCACGAGACAATACAATACGAGCCTTGAAGAATGAGTTAGCTACGAAAAATGAACTGCACAAAGGACATACCCAACAACTAATGTCAGATCTCGAAGATAGATTTAAAAGTTGGATCATGGAGAAGAAAGAGCTCGAGAGCGAGGTGAAAGAAGTGAGAGACATATCTGAAGCAAAGGATAAGGCGTTGGAATTGCTTCGAGAAAACCTGGAAACGAGCAGATCCAGAGCTGAAGATCTCGAAAGAGACATTGCTCAAAAGACTATGAGGCTGAAAGAGATGATTCAACAGGTTAGTGTAATGGAAGGGAGGCTGCAAACGATGCAAGTAGACGAGAAGAATTTTCTCCAAGAGGCAGAGAGATCACGCAGCGAGATTGATGCAATAAAAAAGTCTCTAGAAGATAGTGAGAAGATGAATCAGACCTTGGAGGAGAAATTCGCAAAAGCAAAGAAAACTCTCGACCATTACCTGCAGTATTCCGTGGAGATGAAGAAGCTAGACTTGTCGGAAACGTAAGTCACTTGGACTGCTTGCAAGAAGCCCACTAATATTCGATTGAAGGGCTGAAAGAATCGAAAAGATTTGGCAATCCTCAATAAGTTCGATCGCGGATTTCGTGGGTCAAGACCTTCCAGAAGACGTCTTGCAGGTATACATCATCGTGCAGTAAGAACTGGTCGATATGATTAACCAAGGAACAGATTGATTGGAACGAGCTCCGCAAGAAGAACGTATTCAAAGACCAAATCCCACTTCCTCGGACCAATTCTGATATCGCGAAGCTAATGCGAGTCGCGATGGTCATCGAAGCCTTTGCAACGCTTGTTGATAGATTCGTATTCCAACCAACGTATTTACTAAACGAAACCAGCCGGCTGCGGGAGATTCTGTGTCAGCAAGCGAGTACCGATCCGGGTAGAGAAAGATTCGCTCGGGGTATCCTCCTTTCTATGTCTTCGGATTCGCAAGAGGTAAACAGCAAGGATGGGGACGACGTTCTCGACTCGGTTCTAGACGAGTTGCTGAGAAATTCGATGATGCGGAGTCTGTTCACCGCTCAAGATATTTCCTCCTTTGACAAAGAATTGACGGACTTGGTAATCCAGTTTCAAGAAGAATGGGAGAAAGTCCAACGTGGCAAGCAGAAGCTCGAAGCAGATTTTTGCTACTCCAACTCGACCGACCATACATGGAACGTTATCAGCATGCGTGCTACGAAATACAAAGAAGATCAACACAGCGAACTGTTTTCCGATAGTGGTATCTACCAGGAGGATGATATCGTCATTGTTCCACAAGTCTACGTTATCACAAAGGGAGAGGAAAAGACACCACTGACGCACGGTTTTCTCCTTCGAAAGGCTGACCTGGATGCTGCAAAGGACGAAGCTCGCAGAAATCCTCCAACAGCCACGTCTTCGCGCGCACCTCCAGGCCACCAGCGACGCAGGCGGCCATCCCAGACGACCACAGTGACTAGTCAAACATCATCAGGCCCCAGTAGACATAGAAGCGATCGTATTGTATCTCGAGCTCGTGGGGTGCTAGGTGTCTGATTGCAGTGGGCGTTGTATTGAGAGTCTTGTGTCTCGATCAGTGGCGCAGAAGATCAGAGCTTGTGAGTTGATTTTTGGAGAGCTCTGCGTAACAACTGCTATATGCCTTGATTTACCTTCCTGTCTCAAACAACGTGCGAGATAGTCAGGCTAGCGTCTATTCATATTTATAGTTTATCTAGCTCTATCTGTAGCAGAAGGCCTAAATACTACTACAGCGTTTGATCACGATATCAATAGTACATTAATGCCTGTGATAAGCTAAAACGACATTGTTGATAATGAGTACTCTGTAGAAGAAAGTTCAGCGGAGGATTGAAGCGGTTATATCGAGGAGATATACGAGGCTTGCCATGAGACTATATAACCCGTAAGATCATCTCCTTTCTCAAGACGGAAAGAAATGGTGAGGTTAGCCCAGGTGGCGATTTTTGTTTTCCGAAAGGGTTTGGTCTTAGAATAGACGGTATGTCGTGCTACCATACTCAAGTAGGTAATACTAGAGTTTCGCAGGGATGTGCGTTTTTAAATCGCTACTAGTGGTCATGATGACATTTTGAAGAGCTCTTGAACCATTTGAGCCCTCCATTAGTATATTGACCGGCTTTCCGTCGGTCGCAACTCGCCATCTCCACGCTTTGATAGCAGGCCTGTCTAGCCCAACGCCTTCTAACACGTCAACAACCCAATTTCCGATGTTTGGAAGATATTTGAATGCATGACCACTACCTCCTGTTGCTACGAACAAACCTTTCTCCCCAGGCACGTGATCGATGATGAAGTGATTGTCGAAGGTATCGGTGTACCAACAAACGCGAGTGAGGGCGATGTCGATGCCCTCCTCGCAAAGTTCTGGAAGGTGATCATCTGTGAAGCGTCTCAAAACACGCATTGCGGTACTAGGAATCTGCGTGAGTTGTGCATCTGTTGTCCACCGGGTCACTGGCACACTCCTCTCTTTTCCGTCGTCCTGCGTTTGCGGATTGGTGTACTTGGTTCCTCGGTATCCGATCTTGAGATATCCTTGTTCGTTCCTAGGAAAGCCATAGAGACCCCCTTCAGCACCATCTCGCACCCTCCAGAGCCATGTTGGAAAATTCTCAGGTGACGTTCGATCCCACAATGACGATGTACGAGGTATCTTGTACATGATTACAGATCCGGCCGTTGCCTCGCATAGGCCATCGAGTTGAGGAAGAATAGATGGCGTCCAGCCTCCGCAGGCCATAATAGTAAGATCTGCAGGGTGGCGTTTGTTGTCTTTGGTAACGATTCCGTTTGTTTTTCCATTTAGAGAGGTCATGAAAGATGCAAAAGCTCCAGCTGTGGGATCGAGAATGAATTGAACTCCAGACTCCTTGGCTTTGTGGAGCGCAAGTCGACATGCTTTGTCTGCAACTGCCATTCCTCCGGTGGAGTCAAGGACTCCAACGTTGTGCATTCCCTTTTGTTTCCTTAGAAAGGGATCTAGAGCGAACCCGAGACCTTTATTTTCGGCGATCCGCACATGCTCAGGAACGGTGGTGACGAGCTGAGTGTTTGGATGTCCGCATTCTTCCATGCTCTTAATTGTTGCTAGTTCGAATTGCGGGAGAGTGTTACCGTCCGTCATGCTCAAGTTCCCACAGGGGTAAAATACCCTGTCGTCTTTGGTAAGCCCCGGTGGGAGATTCTTCCCGTTTGCAAGCTCGTCATTCCATAGCTTCCATTCGTCGATTGCTTCGAAGGTGAGTTCCTGATATTCGACTTGCGTCCCGTATGCCGAACGTACGATTTTGTTCATGTCAGCAGACGCTGCATCAGCGCCATGCAGGTATGAATACAGAGAAACGTCATAAGGTTGCTTGTCGAAAACAGTGACATTCGAGTATCCGCGACGCTCGAGATGCAGTGCTGTCGAAAGACCGAATACACCTGCTCCGACTATGTTGATACGTGAGTCCTTGGACAAGGACGTCATTGTGAAGTAGAAAACAGGAAAAACGTGCGATGCACAAACGAAAGACGAAGTCTAAGGTAGAAAGAAGTAGGTTGGCCTACAATTAAGTTTGCCCTGCCGCACGGGCCCGCATTCACAAGGAATGCGGCAATAACGTCCGTCACACGCGACACTTACCACGCTGGTCCAGATTTGTCCCCCTGCTGTTGCAACTGATAACGGAAGCATGCATTTGGGATTTTCCAATGGCGATTGAGCAGTCCGGCAATCATGGCTCCGCAAGCGGAATAGGTAGCAATTGCTGAGCAAGGGACAAAGTGGGGTTCGGTTTCCCCCGAGCAGGGTGCTTAGCTCTCCCCAGATAGGCCGTGCACGACATCAAGTCTGACCCCTGTCCAGAGGTGTCTTCCCGGCAGAGATGATATCAACACAGACACACGTCGATAAGCTCCGGGAAAGCGAGATGATAAGTGACGGATCCCACGCAGGCATATCCAGCTTGTAGACCTCGGAGGCTTTCATCAGTTTTGATCGGTCTTGCTCATCGAATCTCAAACCGGTACAATGCGGATCCTCTACAACTCGACCATAGCCAAATATGGGCGTGCTATCAGGGAATCGCCGAAGGAGCTCATATTCAACCGCAGGCTGTTGGTGACGGCAGCGCTGTACGCAATGAGTGGTATCCCCATCAGTGAGTCAACCCTTGATCTCCCGCACAGCTAGTACTAATACCAGGAGTAGCTTGGGATCAAGGCTCATCATCCCTCGTACCATCTCTTGCCGGTTTTCAGGAGGCTTTCGGTATCAGCTCAGGTGCCAATCCTTCGGAGATCTCCAACTTCATCTCGTTCGTTTACCTAACCGCCGGCGTCGGAGCGGGCCTGTCCTACTTCATCAATGATAGAATTGGACGTTTGTGGAGCTTACGGCTGTATATGTGCATTTGGGTCATCGGGCAGTTGACTGCGACATTCTCTGGTGGTCACCTTGGCGCACTGTATACCGCACGCTTCGTCTCTGGCCTAGGGATTGGTCCACTTACGGCAACAGGACCGATGTCCATTGTTGAAATCGCACCCTACGAGATCCGAGGACTCCTTGCAACCTGGTTCAGTGTTGTCATGCTGCTTAGTCTGACAATCAGCTGTTTCGTGGTCTACGCGAGCTTCCTGCATGTCGCATCAAGTCATCTTCAGTACCAGATCGTGTGGTTTGTGCCTTGCATCATCATTGGAATCATCATAGCTCTCAGCTTCTTTTGCATGTATGAGTCTCCTCGATGGCTCATGCTTGTTGGACGCGAGGAGGAAGCTATCGAGACTTTGGTAGCCTTGCGCGGGCTGCCGATTGAACATCCACGAGTAGCAAGCGAATTCAACGACATCAAGGCCCAAACCGAAGGAGAGCGCTCAAGATTCGGTGGCGGGTCAGTTAACTTGGAATCTGTTCTCAAGGAAACCTTTCTCGTCAACGCCAACCTACGTCGCGTCGGGCAAGCATGCATTTCTTACGGCTTAGCCCAGCTGTCAGGTGCTAATTCCGTCACGTCATATTTAGTGCCGATCTTGACCTTGATTGGAGCTGGCGGAACGACAGACAGGAACATGTTTTTGACAGGCATGTATTCCATGGCCAAGTTCTTCTACACCCTAATGGCATCCTTCTTCTTCATAGATGCACTCGGAAGAAGAAAGTCACTATTCGTGGGCATCGTTGTGCAAATGGTGTCCGACATCTATATCGGAGTTTACTTGAAGTTCAAGCAGGCTGGCAGTGTAGCTCCAGGGTCAAGCGAAGGTGCTATTGCAGCGATTTATATCCACGGATTTGGATACGCTGTCGGTAAGAGGAATCTTGAAATATCCTAGAAGTATTGGAGCTAACCTGTCAAAGGTCTTCTCGTACTGCCGTACGTATTCAGCGCTGAGCTCTGGCCCAATAACATACGCTCCTTCGGCTCAGCTCTTACTCAATGCTTCCATTGGCTCTTCTACTTCGGCGTCAACAAGGGCACGCCTGGGATCTTGAGTAGTATGAATAACTGGGGCGCCTTCTTGTTTTTCGCGGGGTGGTGCTTCATCTCTCTCGTATATGTTTTTGTGGCGGTGCCGGAAACTGCCGGTCTGAGCCTAGAACACATCGACGCGCTCTTCGAAGGTCCATTCTGGCAGATGAACAGCAAAGCCAGAATGAATAGGAAGATGACTGGAGTCATTGTTAGTCCTGGCAGCGATGATGCTAGTGTTGAAGACATCGAAGTTGGTAGGAGCGGCAAGGCGGGTGAGACGTGATGGTTGAGATTGTCTGTGTGACTGCGCAACCACGTGTTTGATATCAGTGGGTATTTAAAGGACTTTGCCCTTGCCATCTCCCGATCGCAGCTTTTCTGTTGCAAGATAAGCAAATCCACTGGCCTTCTTCACAAGTTTCTACAAAAGAAGCCACCTGTATCAATGAACCAAATGGATCAGCTCTGAAATATGTCTTAGTAATTACGTGCTTCAAGCATTTCTGCGACTCCTGTCTTATACCAATTATGCGAGAGGTCACGTAGAAGACAATAATATAATCATCTATCACTCAAACAGACTAATATCACACGGAATGGATTCTCGTACATCGCAAATAACAAGTGAAATGTAAGGTAAAACGAGTTTCTCTAAAGGCCGACAAACGGCACGTTGACGGGCGAGTTTGCTTGCCCATTCTCGAAAAAACTCCGAACGTTCTCAAAGCATTCTCGTTCCGCCTTATGAAATGCCATGTTCGTCAGTCCACCTAGATGAGGCTGCAGAACCACATTATCTTGCTCGAAAAACCATGAATCTACATGCGGTTCATTACACAGCACGTCTAGCCCAGCTCGTGCAAGCCTGCCGGATATAAGTGCTTCTTTCAGCGCGGCTTCGTTGACGATGGCGCCTCTTGCAGTATTTATGAAAAAAGTTCCGGGCTTCATAGCAGCGAATTCTAGAGTTGATATCAAATTCGTTGTCTCTGCGTTGAGTGGACAATTTATGGAGACCACGTCTGAGGACGAAAGAAGTTCGTGGAGTGAGGAGCAGTATGTGGCGTTGTAATGCAACTCGGCTTTTTCCGACAGGCGACTACGATTGAAGTATTTGATCTTCATATTGAACACTGCGGCCTTCCTTGCAAGATACTAATAATGTATGAGTCAGTAGCTCGCACTGTATACCAACAAAGGACTAGAACTCACTTTGCCAATAGAACCCATGCCTACGATGCCTAATGTTAGACCATTGGGATCAGTTGCTGGTACAAGTCCTGCGCCGCTTCTCCATTTTCCAGCTCTGACGCTCTTCTCTGCCATTGTAGTGTTCCTGAGCGTAGCAAGTATTAAGAAGATGGCCATATCAGCCGTGGCCTCCGCTACGGCATCTACACTGTTGCAGAATGTGATACCATTCCTGCTCATCCAGTCGATGTCAAACTCGTTGTATCCTGCAGAAGCCGATGTGATGATTTTACAAGACGGAACGAGGGGACCGAAAAAGTCGAAAGGTTCGTACGGCGGTGTGCCCATGCGAACTATGAAGGCTTCTATGGGCCCGTTTCGCTCGATGAGTTCTGGGATTTTTGAAATAGCTTGAGTACGATCGGTTGCGTCCAGTACTTGAAAGTCGAAGTCTTTGGTGAACTCTGCTAGATAATCTTTGCCAATATACTGAGGGGTGCCTAGACACACAACATGTGGTCTCCGTGGCGTGATGGAGCCCATCGTTTTTTTTTTGGTCTTGATTCGGTACTCGTGCAAGACAGTACGGAAGTGGGTAGGTTGAATGATTGCTGTAAGAGTGCGTGAGAAAGCCTTGAAGACGTCGAGGTAGGTGGTAATGGAAACTTGGGGCTAAGCCACTATGTGCAATTGCTCAGACCTTACACTGACAAAGCACTAGCGATAGAAAGGGTTTCGGGCGAAATGGCTTCTGGTTTGTTCCGAGGGCCCAAGAGTGGAACGCGATAAGCTGCTTATCTCGGGGCCAGCCCGATGATCGCTTCTCGGATTCCTCCGAACGGCGCATTGACTAATCGTCGGCGAACTTCAAGCCAGAACGTACGGATCTAGGTGACCCTGCAAATTAGGTCGATTACAGGAAGAGTCCTTACTTTATGTTTTTCTGTTAATTTCTTCACCATTTGCAGCCTGGCCATGTCGGGAGATTCGACGCGCTCACCACTGGGATTTCTCGCCATCCAGGTCGATATCCACCGCCCGCCGGGCGATCCTTTCAATTGTCGCACGTGGTCATTCCCGCTGATACATGAGCTTGTCGAGGACTCAGGGGAAGCAAAGATCGTGACCAAAGATCCCTACGACGATGATCTACTCGCACGTTTTGTGAGAGCCGGTATAAGTCTGGCAGAGCGGGGCGCTGTGGGTTTGATCACAAGCTGTGGCTTTCTTGCATTGGCGCAAGACCGGTACGTGTAGGACAAAGGCGTGTGATAATTGTTAGCTAAGCTAAATGAACATGTAAAAGACTTGCGAGTCAACTTCCGATTCCACTCGCTACAAGTGCGCTGCTACAAATTCCTAGCATTCTTATTTTGCTTCCTAAGCATACAGTCGTAGGCGTTTTGACGTACGATTCTGCACGACTTGGCGCCATACATCTGCAAGCCTTGGGTCTTAATGCTTCAAGAATCCGCATACGTGGAATGCCAGCGCAGGGCCATCTTCGCAAGGTGATCCAATGTGGTGCTATTTATGAGGCATCGGCCATGGAAAGGGAAATGGTTGAACAGGCAATGAGGCTAATAGAAGAAGCAGAACTGGATCGACAAACGATAGGAGCTATTGTTCTGGAATGCACGCAAATGCCACCTTACGCCGAGGCTATACAACGTAAGACTGGATTGCCGATCTACGACGTTTACACCATGGGAGAATGGTTCTACAATGGATTAGTTAGGAGAATGCCAGTTGGGTGGCGGGAGGACATTAGAACTGATAACAAATAGAGCAGGCAAATTTCTAGGGTGATCTGCATCATGCTTTGGCCGGAACGTATCCTTGTCATATCTCAGCTTCATTCTCGCTCAGACCAGTTTTCCCATCGTCTCTTTGTATTCATCGTAATCCAGGGAATTACTTCTAAAGGTGTGGTACACGATAAACATCTTCAGTAAAACTGCTCTTCTATACCAAGAACTCCCCATTGGTTTCCTTGACAATAAGCTGGTACTCCGGCTCGAACTGCATGTACATAACTTCCGGACTCCCTGTCTCTTTCTTGGTGTATTCCGCTTCCTCGTCACTAATGAATGTCTTCATTAGCTGACTTCCAGTAGGCGCGAGAGCGGCTTCAATTAATAGCTGGCAATGACATGCCCTTTCAAGCGCAATGAAAAAAGCTGCGGCCTCCGCTACAGTCCCGCCGCTAGTGAGGAGTCCATGATTCTGGAGGATGAGGTTCTTTCTCTGTTGTCCAAGTGAACCTGCAACCTTCGCACCTTCCTCCTTGGCAAGGACAACTCCACCAAAGTTTCTGTAGACAGCCAAGTCGTTATAGAACATGCAACTGTCTTGATTCAGCATATCTATAGGCTTGCCAAAGTTGGACCAAGCACGCCCATACGGAGAATGTACGTGACACGCGGCGTTAATATCAGGACGGCGTTGATGCAGGGCGGAGTGTATGATAAACCCGGCAGTATTGATGGGCTTGTCGGCACCACCAATACGGCATCCGTTCTTGTCTACATGAACCATGTCGGAAACAGTTAACAGCGCAAAGTGTACGCCGTAAGGATTGATCCAGAATGTGTCTGGATTTATGGGATCTGAATTCAATCTGTCGGTATATCATCCTGGACCGAGTCTATAGATAACGCACCTCGAACACTGATGTGACCACTTCCTCCGTCAGCAAATCCTAATTTAGCGAATATGCGGAAAGTGCCAGCCATCTGTTCCAGCTGCCATTTTCGCTCCGCTTCCCGAGTCGCAGGCCTGGGAATATGGTATCGACGTTTAGACATTCTTTCATTGGATGTTTCGTGGCTATTCGCCGTAAGCGCACCAGCAGGTATAGCCGAGAGGTTTGACGGTGAGACGATAGTGGTTGTAGACATGATCGATGCCGTATCAGAGTGAACAAAAAGGATATAGAACAGTGGAATCGCACCGCCCCTGAAGGTCCACACCTTTTGAGTGGGCAGAGCTGACGCAGCATTGTGAACTAGTGGTGTGCGCGCTAGATTTCGGGTTCCTCCGAGATTCCTCGTGAACATTCCAACAAGTCTCCCAACAAGCTTGGTAGAGAATTGTGGATCCAGTAAGTGCGCGGCAATGACCGAATGTCTGAGAGCAATAGAAGCTTGGTAAGAATCCTTGATTCGGTTCAAACCGGATATTTATGATTCCTTGAATAGCCATACATATACTATTGGAAGAAAGGCCATTTCAAGTACGATACATAAAGATCTCATAGCTTGAAACAAAATCAAAAACGTCAAAGAAGGTTTCTGTAATGATGGCACCGATTGCCGTTGACGACTTCTCAAACCGGCGGGTTGACTTCGTTCAGGCCGATGAGCTGCGAACCGCATTCTCGCTGGCCATGTCTGCAATGTACAAGAACGAAGTACCACTTTATGGCGACCTCATGAATATCGTGCGAACGATCAACCACGAAACACTGGTGCAATCGCCGAGACCCGAGATCGAAGCTTTGAGGAATGGCGACGTTGCGTCGGAGCGGCTAGAAATCGAACGACATGGCGCGATCCGATTAGGAACTCCATATGAACTCCAAACGGTCTGCCGGATGTTTAAAGTCTTGGGTATGCATCCAGTCGACTATTACGATTTGTCGCAAGCTGGTTTACCAATGCACGCAACCTGCTTCCGGCCAACGACAGCCACTGCATTAAAGCAAAATCCGTTTAGAATTTTTACAACATTGCTAAGACCCGAGCTTTTGGAGAATCAAACGGCCAAAAACATGGCTTTGGAGCTTTTGGCCAAGCGAAACATCTTTAGCGAGAGACTATTGGCAATGTTGGATGTTGCAGAAGCACAAGGGGGACGACTGGAACGAGAAAATGGGCAGATATTTGTTCAAGAGGCGATGAAGACCTTCGGGTGGCAACCGATAGCTGCAGCGACGACTGGTGTTTATCAATATCTGAATGATCATCATTCGATCCTGGCCGATATTGCCTGCTTCAAAACTGCACACATCAATCATCTGACCCCGAGGACATTGGATATCGCCTCTGCACAGGCGCGCATGAAGAATCAGGGGATGGCAGTCAAGGAAAAGATTGAGGGTCCACCGCCACGAAATTGCCCTATTCTCCTACGTCAAACCAGCTTTCTGGCTCTCGAAGAGCAGGTGAAGTTTCCCACAGCGCAAAATGTGTTAGTGAACGGCTCGCACAAAGCTCGTTTTGGAGAGATTGAAGAGCGGGGCGCAGCGGTGACACCAGCGGGCAGGCGCTTGTACGACCAGTTGTTGAGCACAGCCATCGCAAGAATGTCCAAAAGCTCGTGCTCTGAGCCAGAGCAGCAGGACGCTACTATCGCACAGGCTTTTGCGCAATACCCTGATAGCTGGGACGAGTTACGACGTGCGGGTCTAGTATATTTCGAATATCGTTGCTCGGTGGGAACAGAAAACATCGTACCGCAGCAGGGCGCGACTCGTGAGACACTTCTGAGCCTGGGCGTCTTGGAAGCGATTCCGATCACATATGAGGACTTCCTTCCCCTGTCTGCAGCGGGTATATTCAGGTCCAATCTTGGAGCCTCACGCCAAAACGGCGCAGAAACTTGCTCTTCCTTTTCAGACAAGGCTGGATACGAGCGCGCTATGCGCAGGTCAATCATTGACTCAGATAGCTTGTACGACAAGGTGCAAGAGACGAGTTTGAGGGCATGCGCGCTAGAATTGGGCTTACCCCAGAATACTTTCATTGATCAACAGCCATAGCTGTGCAACCTCAATTGAATGTTGACCATTGATTTTTTTCTGACCCGGTTTGAGACCGCTGGCGACTAGGTGGTGAAATCTGCTAGATCATCAAAGGTTATATCCGGTGCCTGGTAATCTCGTATGTCCTGGAGGAGTTCTTGAATAAACCATTCCGATCCATCTGACACAGGAATGCAGTCAAAGTCCATGAAGCAATCCTGAGTTGACCCAGACTGATTCGTCCTAGTTGTTTCGGAAGCGCGTATCCCTCGGTTGTCGGCGAAAACTCCAGATGAATGCGTTTGGTCGCTACAAATCATGTTGATTGTCTTCTGTGAAAGTGCTTCGAATGTATCACGATATGTCGTAGCCTGGGGCCAACGCTCAGCCATGATGACCAATACCATGTTGCAAGCCATACAGGTATTGACGACGTCGGATTGGCGTGCAGCTTCTCTGACAGTCTTGCACCTCCATAGACAATACATATATGTGAGTCCGGCCATAAAGAAAATGTGAATAGAGCCCCATGTAAATTGTATCGTGGAGGATTGATACAATCGCCTGTAGAGTAAGCATATCTCTCGAGCCCGAAGAGCGCATTGTTGGAAAGCCACTCCTACACCCTCTTCATCTTCTGGCGGTGGCGAAGTTGTGATGCAATGACGATACAGAAGCAGTATCGAGTGAGCATAAGCCAGCTGAAACCATGTCTTCGAAGCGAATACTGATAGAGGTTGAGACTCGGCGTTTTCTATATGATCAGGTATTGCTGCTTGCCACTCGTCCAACTCTTGCCTGAGATGAGTGATCGAGACCTTTCGAGTCGTAGAATGCGACACCAACGGTCTGGCGGCAGTAGGGTAGAGATGATCTACGAACTTGGACCACAATTGCCGCAACTTGATTACATGGATGGCTCCAGAAACGTAGGTTGGCGGTTCGCGTGGATCAGATCTGGGATCTTTAGTGTAGCCTTCCTTGGTGATGTATTCATCTTCAAGATCGCATGGCAACTCCACATCGATGGCATCGTCAGGAATGCCGACCGGGCGACCAAGAATCAATGCAGCCACCCGGTCAATGTCGTATGCAACCCAAAAGCATCGTCTTGAAATCTCAGCTGATAGACAATTTGTCAGCCTCCGAAATCTGACGACGCTGCGATGATACCCGAGTTCAATGCAATGCCTGATCGCTAATCCAGAAATCTTCCAAAGGCTAGCGCCTACAGGCGACTTGATAGAGTATATAGCGCACGCAAGAATGCTCTGTATAGACTCAATACCATCCATATCAAGAAGAGCGGCTTGATGATCAAGCGCCCTGGAGTAATATGCTTCGGCAGAATCGCGATGTGCTGCACCCAGCGCTAGAGATCCAATGGCGTACACCATGAGCACAAAGAACAACGGCAAATCGTCTATGTCGTCAAGATTGCCGGTAGCATTGGCGCTGGCGCAGATTTCTTCCCAAGCTTTGAACGTAGGTTTGTGAAGGAATGGATACTGGGGGTGAATGTTCTTGAAGTATGCCTGGGAAAGCGTTGCTGCTAGACGTGGTGATGGGAATAAGACGGATAACGTGCGATGGACCTCAGGATGCCGAGCTTCAGGAGTTGCTGCTTCATTCTGAGAGTATGCGCCGCGCTTGGGCAATCCCATGGTAGCACTCACGATTCGGGAAAACGACACAGCACATGATGGGCCGAAGTAATGGGGCTCCTGCCCGGCAGCACTAAGGCATAGGAGGGCAACTTCTGTTGATAAACCATCAAGGTTTTTATCTTGACCACTAGAAAGAGGTGATTCGCGGTCTTCATTCGGCTGCGGCGCCTGCGACATGCTGTGCGGCTGGCCGAGGTTGCGATCGCCATCCAAATGATCAACGGCTACCTCCGGCTGCGTTTGTTGCAGTAGAGACTCTAGATATGCGACCCGTGCTTCAAGGGATCGAAGATAATCTCTTGGACGGTGCAAACCAGTCGCTGGGTCTTCGACCAGACAGTCTTCGCAATGTCAATACTATGTGGTAGCACTGCGAAGTAGGCGCAACAGGTGCTGGCTCACCTCTACCACTGCGCGCACAATTTTGGCACTGGGGAATTTGGCCGTCGCACTGCAGATTGTTAGTAGAGCACGCTTAGGAAATAGTGGGGGAGAGAAACTTGACCTTTAACTTCTTGCCCTTGCAGTACGTGCATGCTAGCATTGTTCGCTCACCAAGGCGAGGCCGCTTCGCTGTCCGCGCGCTTTGAAGGTTCTCGCTCATCGCGTTCTTATAACGCCTCGCGCGATGAATGATGTGTTTTGCAAGAGAAGAGAAGAGAATGTGCGCGATATGAGCGATCGTATGATGATAATGAGGGAGCATGTAGATAGGCTGCAAGGTCGCTATCAGCTCGGCAAATCTATTCCGGTTATTCGTAAGCGCACGTCCGGCGCAATGCCTACAGTGCTCGTGCCCCACAGTATTCCTCCATCAGATGAACAGGGTCGCCAGTTGAACACCTTTTACTAGGAAAACTAGACACTTTGATAGGCTGTGATTTCTATCATACTTAACTCTCTAGCCTATGAATATTGGAAACAATCCCAAAAATATGAAGTATTCGCTTTCCAGATGTAATTGCCCTTTAGTCTTTCTAATTCGCATGTTTCTCTACTACACCACCTATGTTGTTTCAGCGGGTATTTACTTAAGAGAAGTGCAGGTCGTAATTCGCTGCCAAATTGAACTTTAATTTTTCTGCTGCATCCTCTCCAGGAATTCCGCAGCCTCCGCAGCATACTTACAGCGCTGACGAATAGCAGGACCGTACTTGTAGAATAGATAAGGAAAGGGTAAGCAAGCTAGCGACAAGAATGCCGGAACCGAAGACGCCCAATGTATGCCCAGGTTACTGTACATATCGCTGGTGAACAGCGGGAATGCGGCGCCGAACAACGACCGCAGTACTGAGTTGGCAGCAAGCGCAGACGCCGCGTAAATGAGGTATGCATCGATCAGGTAGTTCATGATCGAAAGGAAGACAAGAACCATACTGAAGCCGAAAGGCACGCTCGCTATGATGCTGACAATCCAGTGAATATTCGGTCCATTGGTCCAGGCGAACCAGAAAAGGCCGATGGGCATGACAATCGAGCCTAGAATCGCGGGTGGAAGTCGAGCTTCTGGCGGAGCGATACCACCAGGTGAAGCGTCAGCGACCTTGTTGTAGCGCTTGTTGTCCCATATCGAGTATGAAGTCGCTAGAATCATGCCAACAGCTACACCCAAGAATGCGAGACCACCAATGCCTTGAGACCAACCGCGACCTTGTTGATAGACGATGGGAAATGCGCCGAAGAGCATATACAGCGTTCCGTAGACGACGGCCATGTATAGGGATAGGAGGAGAACGATGGGTTCGCGGAACAGCAGGAGCCATGGACGAATGAGAGCGGTTTTGAAAGCCGTGCCGATAGATTTGGTGCCTTGCTCGACGTCGGATTTGCTCTTGTACACTTGTCCGGTTCGCTTTGAAAGAGCTGCGGCACGCTTACGAAGCAGGACTGGTGCATAGGTTTCGGGTATGAGAAGGGTGTAGAGGATCCAGAGAACACCGGTGAATATGGCCATGACGCCTTCGATCCAGCGCCAGCCAATGGTCTGGCCGACAAAACCACCAACTGTTGCGTGTTAGTCCTGTACTAAAATCTCGTCTAGGACCTTCGAAGCACTTACCGATTGGACCAATGACAGGCCCCAGCATTGGAGCAGCAGCGAAGAGACTCGTGGCTAAACCTCTCTGAGATGCAGGAAACATGTCTGCAATGACACCACCAGCATTAGTCAACGGCGAAGAGCCAAAAGAACCAGCCAAGAATCTCAAGATAATCAGAGTCTCGATGTTCTGGGAGCCGGCGGCACCAGCGTTGAAGGCAGTGAGAAACATGTAGGTACCAAAGAACAGGTACTGACGTCCGTACAGCTCTGGGCAGTGTTAGCAACCTGCGAGTGCAACTTGTGAACAGCGCGAGACACTTACCACTTAGCGGCGCCCATGCTAGCGGTCCTATAGCGAAGCCTAGGACGAATAGCGAGATACCCAGCGTACCGACGATCTGTGAAATTTGAAACTCTCTGAGGACCTCAGCGATACCGCCAGAGTATGCAGAAGACACAAAGGCTACCGCCAGCGTTGCGATTGCGACAAGTATAGTGATGCTCCATTTCATTGTAGTCGAGTAGTTCATCGGATTTACTGGGTCATTGTCGATCCAGGTGACTAGGAAGGGGTCGTCCTCGGTGCCTGACCCCCTGTAAGGATGGTTGATGATATCGTCGTTGAGGGCTCCCTGGTCAAAAACCCGTTGGAGATGAGGAATAGGGCCAGAGCGGCCGGCCTCATGGTCCTTCTCCATCGGACGTCGATCGAAGATTTGTGTGTTGAATGAGTCTATTATCGGCGTTGTTTGATAGGGGTCCTAGATGGCGCTCTGTGCGGCTGTAAGGTTAAAGTGAAGACTGTTGATCTGCAGACTGCCCAATAAGGCAGGCAAAAGAGAGTATATCATCTACTCTCACATTCTCCGTTTTTGTCCGCGTTATCGCGTATCTGTCATCTTATTTTAGGTATCAGGAATTGGTTGCGACAACTTATATCCGACCATCCGCTTTCTTATAACCACACCAACGTAGGGCTGATAGCGTACGTGCTTAAAGCTGTAAATGATAAACGGCGTAATGCTCGGATAATCTTGTGATCTTCGATAGCCGACCGTAGATAAAAAGTTCTCTGATATACCTTTTCGCATGCGCCGTGTACAGTCGTGGAAGTGTCGAATTGTTGTTGTTGCCCCCGGACGGTCGATGTATCTCCGTAAAGGGCTCCACATGGCGTTCCCGACTTGCTTAGAGCCGCATCTACTGAGCGGACCATCCGTTTTTGCCCCACTCTGCAGGATGACGGAGTTTGCGCCTCGATTACGAAAACTTCTATGCTCCGATACCCAATGGTGGATCGGCTCTGGACTGCTCGATATCGAAGACACAAAGATAGCGCGACGCCACAAACCGTGATTCCGGGAGATCAATGACCCCTCGAAACGGATGCGTCTACCCAGGAAGAAGGTTGGCTACCATATACACACGCAATAGTATTTGGTGCATCCGCGACATTGCTCATGCAGTCTCCGATATGTCGAACCCACGCAAGGTCACCGAATTCGATACAGACCAGAAAGCTCATGCTCCCCATACTATGGCACTATTCACCAAGGGAAGATACTGTCTTGCTCGCCGTGTCCGCTTTACCACCCACGCATTTCACTATCCACGACTCAAAATCCACGAAGGCTAAGACTGTCATGACAGCTGTAGCGGAAGCTTCGATTGAAGCCGGGTTCGATCGCTAAGCAAGCTGGCGTTATGCGAAGAAATCGCGACCTCGGCAGCGTGAGATTGTGGGAGTAGCTCTAACATACTTGCGATAATGATTGTTGGGTGATTTGACGACCAACAACCTCGTAGTGGAAAGCCCATCTCCATCAAGCAAAAGGCGTAATGGTTCTCGATGACTGTCTTTGAACTCGAGGTATCTGTAAAGCTCACTTGTCGCGCGAGGATAGCATCTCGACGCGACGACTGAGTAGAAAGGTTGTCTTGGCTCTCGTTGTTGCGATTGTTCACTCTGAGCAGCGAGTTTCAGATTCTTGTCAATACTTGTCGAAAGCGCGCAGTTGTGAACGTAGAAGATACGTGAGTGGTTGAGGGAAAATCAGTTGGCATAACGACAGCAGCGCGTGAGCTGGGGCCGGCCCCGCGAGGACGCGCTACCCCGGCTTCGGCTACTTAGGGGACAGACCCCCCCCCCAAGTCTAACCCTTCACCCTCCCAGGCTGCCACCATCACCTCTCTCCACCAGCCACGACTGAGGAGCTCATAGCTCAATGTCTTACGCATTCCAACAAATATTCTTTCAAGGCCCCCCATGAGAGAATTGATCCGACACATGGCCAAGTTTTGCCACGCCTTTGCACTAGGTCATGATCCTTGGCCCACAACGGCATTCAAGTCGACATTGCGTTGCGTCTGCACACATTAGTGATGGCTACGGAATATTGAAGTTGATCAAAGGTTCTTTATACTAATTGACGCTAAGCTACATTCTTGGGACATACACAGCATACAAAACGAGTCGCAACCACGATAAAGTTCCGCAATCAATGCTGGACGTGGATTGCCATTCTACTGGGCATTGGGATCAACTGGACTGGGGTTGATCATCTTGCCATACTCCTGCAGGGACTTGTTGACAATCGTTTGGAAAACTTTCTCGAGCTTAGGCTTGCTGGCTAGGTACTTGTTGACGTTGAGGTCGCAGTCCACGACGACGTATCGCATGTTGAATGTGTTCTCCGAGTGGTCAGCCTTTTTGGTAGCCCACCGCCAGGTACTGGCGTCGATGTGCATGTATACGATCCGTGCGCGTGGTTGGAACACCCAGATCGGGTTGCTATCGTCCCCAGAAACATTAAGACGCACAACCTGGTTGATGCGGATGGTCTGGTCAACAGTGTTGCTGGTGCGGCCCGTCTCAACGCTGACTGTGCCAAGCGACTTGACAAAATTTGTCAGAATACCGTCGAGCTGGAGAAGGGCCGGTTTGGTCAGGCTGAAGCCCTTGAAGAGCTCACCCAAGAACTCTAGATGGACGTCCGTCTTGGTCATCTTCTTGGAGAAGGTCGTCTGCGTGCCGGAAGAGAAGTTGAAAAACCCCGCGAGTGGGCCGACCATGACATTGTACGCCGAGTTGGCCATGTCAGCAAAGGCTTGCGCCGCCTCGTCTGCCACTGTGATGTTGTAAGGTTCGGGGTGGCCACGCTTAGTCCGGGCGTTGGCATTCCAGATTGCCGTGTAGAGCGACACAATTGAAGACATTTCGACAAGATGGTTGTAGTTCTGGCCAGCACTAGTCTCATCATAAGGCGGCATGATGCCCACATTTTGAGGCATCGGTACTCTGCCATTGGCGACTTCGGTTGACGGACCATTAGCAGCATCAGTGAGCGCAGCGACAACGTCTGCTATTGTAGGATCGGCAGCAGCTGTGACTGGGCCATTCCCAATCAGCTGCTCGAGAGCACTGTTCTTCTGGGTAATGTCTGAGGCAACTGCCAGGAGCTCGCCGATTGGCTGATACTGCTCGTGGAGCTCCTGGGCATTTGTAGTGTCGATAGAGCCCATGATGAGATGGATGTGGGATGGAGATTATGTATGAGATTGTGTGGGTACTCTTGAGGGGGATCGAATGATGAAGTATGGCTTAGAGCTTCTGGTGAGACCATGAAACGAAGGGGCGCTCCGTTATTTATTCCAAGCTTTGCTATGGGAATTGTCAGACGAGTAACCATTCTCTGCTGAGCGACCCCTCTCACTGCCCATTCAGAACAAGTGTTCAGGATCATTTGAAACCACGATTGGAAGTAGGTGCAGCTTTCAGCCAGCAAAAGTTATCAGCCAGCCTCCCGTCCACCGATCTGGAACCTGTCAGCTCCGTCAAGCCCCATGGACATCATTCGGTGCAATTGGGACACTACCTCCCGATCAAGTTGATTCTGGATCGCAGAAGTCTCCCCTCCGCATACAGTATATCCTAAATGGGAAAGCCGGCTCAGCAGAGGCGTCTTTGACCGTGCGGAGGATGACTGCAAGCCACATAATCTCCCATGACTGTATGGTTCGCTTGTTCACTCAGTAGCTGAACAGATGTGTCCTTGTAGGCACGGCATACAGTATGTCTCAGTTGTACCCAAGGATCGATGAACCCTGCGTTAGCGGTCTGCAGGCCCTTCTTAGCTTTCAAACCTTGGCAGCATACTTCATACTTCGGAACGAACGACTATAGAGGCCATCAGTGCATGTCGAGGCGGGAACAGGCTACTCGTCACACTTGTTCGGACCAGCTCCTCATCGCCTTCTCCGTAAAGATGCAGCAAACTATTGTTCACACTAGTGCGATGCCTGTTTGGGAACACACTAGCACATCCAGCTAGCCACTTGTTAGTTCCAGCTCGCGTAACCATGAGACAAAGGCTCGCAAAATGACATGCCTTCGGTTGAACGAGCGATATGTTCTACGACAGTGGAGCCTACACTCATTCCTGAGCAAGTTGGGGACAGCTGAGGTGCTCTAGATTTAAGCGGATGGTGGCTGCACGTCTCAGCTACAATCTAGCTCTATGAGAATCTCCTAGCTGTTTGAGGAATAGACAATTTACATTACACAAGCAGCAAGCTCATTGGAGACAGTGGTACCTAGGGCGATTTGTCGGAAGTTAGGTATCGTCATCACAACTTGGAAAGATGACCATCCTGCGCTAGCCACAACATCTGCGCTGGAGGCTGCCCAATCTTGTGATGGATACATAGGTGATGATAGTGCATGGAACTGAACTAAATGTGGCAACGCCAGGACGTTTTGAGCATTAATAGCCCGAGCCATGCCCAGACCAGATCTCGCAAAGCTACACATCCAGCTTCGAGTCACTCAGGTGTGAAGGGTGTGAACTCAATCCTTCGTCACTTGTCACCCTCGATCGAAACCGACTTCTCTCACCACCTACACTGCGCAAATGAACACTTTTGAAGGATCTAGGCAGCCAAACATTCGCGATCTCAATGCTCGTGTGATCCATAGTGAGAGAGCCAGTCATATTAATTCACTCGACACTACAGGCATGTGAATGGCTACAGCCTTTTCAAGATATCATTCATGGGTACTTTGCGTTGGAAGACACCGTCGCGTATAAAGCTCGCACCATGAGATATCGTCAGAAGAGACTGATCCATGAATTCAAAGGCTATGTTCAGGCAGTCATTCATTACTGTTTACTATCAGACACGTTCAAACATCCATAAACTTATCATTCCTCTTGAGCCGTAAAGATGTTACAAGTTTCGTGTCCGTATCCGAGAAGACCGCCATTCTCGACAATCTTCATTAGCTCGGCGTCCTTGTCCACCATCAACTTCAAAGCTTGCTCGAACTTGGGCTTTGCCGCAAGATAGTTGTTTTGATTGAGACGCAGCTCAAGTGTGGTGGTTGTCATCTTGAAGGGGACCTTTTCGTTCCGTCGACGAAGGTCCACCTTGGATGGCTTATCAAGCGCGTGCGCCCAGTCCTGTACGCGTACACTGATGCTAACAAGACGCGTCATTGGATCGCAAATGATCACTGTGCCATCGCCTGTCACGTCAGTCGTGTTGACGTAGTGGATCAAGACCGCGAATTTGAGCTGCTGGTCGCTTCCATCAGATGACCCGGTCTTGTCGGCTTTGAATGAACGAAGGGTGGAAGTAAATCTTGTCAAGACATCATCGAGGTCCTTCATGTGATCCTTCCCTATGGCGCGCAGTCCACCGAAGATGCGTGGCAGGACAAAGTCATGCAGCTCCGAACGCTTGAGCAACTGCTCCTCAGTCTGTGTGGAGCCACTGTTGTGTTGCTGGTACATGCTAGCTAGGGGACCGCTAGTAATAGCTTTCACAACGGCGTCCGCCTCTTCGTTGATCATGGTGACAAAGTGAGACGGATCACGGACAGAGTCTGAGGACCCACCCTGATCTCTCGCTTTGCGAGCTGTGATGATGTTCATGGCAGAGAACATACGCGCGAGAGACGAAACACCAATGAGACTGTCGAAATTCTGACGGACGCTGTCGTCCTGCTTGACCGATGGTCTGAAGCCAAAGAAAAAGGCCACTGGGGGTCGGCCCGCTTTTGCGACCTCACCGCAGCTCGTGACAGCGTCTTTGAGTTGAAGAGCAAGGTCGTCCATGGCATCGAGCTCTTTCAGGGGACTGTGTTCCGTGTCTTGTTAGTATTTGACGAGTAGTATAGAATTTCACCCCGATGTGGGGACCATATACTTGCCCTTTTCCAGCAGAAATTGGAGCTCCCTTTTGATCATCAGATGTGTTCCTGTGGTAAATATATTAGTGTATGTACTGCATAAAAGCATGTCGTTAACCTACGCTTCCCGTGATATCTGGCTGGTAGAGTCTTCAGGCGCTGGCCCATCGCGTGTGGTCTGTTCATTTGTCATTGTTGTTGTCGATTTTCAGGCGAAGGTCAATAGAGTGAAGGAAGGCAAGCATGCGATGATGCTTAGCAGAGGAGTCGAGTGGCAGAGGATTCGTTATCTAAGAGATCATAGGGTATGTAGTGCTGTTTGCCCACGCCACATCTTTGTTGACACGATCAAGCACCTGGTCAGTTTCACACCCCTGGAGGAGGTGGGTTTTGAGGCACATCGCGTCTCCAGCAAATCATCCCAATCATTCAGACTGCTCTAGGCATCTTTACTTTCCAATCGTGTTTCTAGGCCAACGTGTGGCTGGCTCAACGCCTTGTCAGAGCGAGCACTACGCAAGGGGGCAACCGAGCCATAGCAAATAGCTGCCGTCGCGAGCCCAAACGTCTTTGCTCCGCCTGAAGACCGGGATGAGGATTGATGCAAGAGACAAAGCTTGCCAGCTGTCCCGATCCACCGCCTGTGACATCGTTATCGAAGCGTGAGTCTATCACTGGGCGACTAAGGAATAGCTCTACAAAAGTGACACTTCTGGTCATTTGGACAAGTTCGTGGCTGGCTGCAATACCACCTGGCGTCCCTAGAAGAAGCAGTTGGGCAAAGCTGAAGCGTATGGCTTGTACTCAGGTATGCCTCATCACAGTCCGTGTGTCTCAGCGCCGGCGACTTCCAGTAGAATTCGCCGGAATCGAAGATATGCAAGCACCCCGCACGTTCAACCTTTTCGTTTCGCCGCATACGGGAGCGCTACCCGGGCGCTAAATCGGCCGAGGGAAAGCGTCGACCAATATGACATCGCGCGACGCCGTTCCATGCAGGAGTCCATAGTCTAAGCACTTTCACAATGTGGCTTGATCCAAATTTTAGTAGACTGTGCAAGGGCATTTCGAAGTTGCTGCTGCGTGAAATGTCGGAGTGGGACACATCATGGAAGGTAAAAGAGGAGGAGCATTCAGCTCACTCACTTGCCGGATGCCCTCAGTCTGTAGACGGCAACCGGTTGAGTAATCCGGCTGTGGCTAGCTGAGAGCTCGTGTCGTATCCTTAGTTAGTGGCGCTATTCGTAGGGTCGATAGATTTCAGACATCTTAGACGCCCGAGGAAGAGTACGACACACAGTGCTTGCCGCTTCGGTCGCAATTAAACTCCGTCAACGTCCTCCAAGTATCCTAATAGAATCAGTATATAACTCGTAGTAGACTTGACAAACACTCGATTGCTTTTCACTCTCGCAAGTCAAATACGATCAAGAAAACTTCCCTTTTTCTCAAAGCTATCGCAACCGCGAATCCTCGACCAATACTTTGTCCCCATCATCCCCCGAAAGCAACAATGGCTGAGCCACTTACCGTCGATTCTGTAGGCGCCATTCAGGCGATGATCCAGGAGCTACACATCCGAGCCGAAGGTGGAAATTCTGTCGACGAAGAGACACTTGCCCTTCGGATGCTTGCTGCCACCAGCGCTGAGCCTGATTATGATCTCTCGCAGGTCAGGCGTCTTGATGACGGGCAGGCCCCTGGCCCAGTCACTGCCAGTGCCGACGGAGATGACAAGTTCAATCAGCTCGCAGAGCTCATGATGGGCAACACCAAGACCCCAGACCAGCAAGTTGCGGAGGGCAAGATCCCCACGACCAGCCCCGTTGTCGTCATGGACCCTTACTCCAAGCAAAATGCTCAATCCAACTTTGCCACCCTCAAAGACGCTCATTCCATTATCCAGCTGTATTCGAATTTGATGCAAGTCCAGCAGAAGCCTACCGGATTCAACATCACATCCGAAGCAGCATCTGGGTTCGCCTTCCAAGCGAGGCAAGCCTACAATGCCATGATGGGTCCTCTTGCGGGCTACTACAACTTCTCCGCTGGCTCTGTGCAGAAATACAGCAACCAGCTCGAGCGCAACCAGATCCATGACGATTTTCTTGGCAAGGTCTTTGACGGATTTGGGTTCGACAAGGCCACTTTAGCTGCTCTGGACACCAAGCTGACAACTTTCGTCTCTGCTATCAAGGGCATCAATCCTGGCGCCGCACAGCCGTCCACTTGGGACTTTTCCCAGATGCTTGGCCTGTGTCCCAAGCTCAACATTACAGCCGACGATTCCGACCCCGAATGGGTATTCAACCCTACCACGTTCCTCTTGTATATGCAGGTCGACGCTAAGACATTCCGCGAGAGCATTAGCAAGAACAACTCGGTCGACAAGGTCAATTTCAATTTTCAGTTGACTGTGACCAAGTGCGAACTCAACGTCCGCCGTTTCGAAGCTGACCGGGTCAAGTTTGACAAGATGTTCAACTTGGTCACCAGCCACAACCTCAGCGCCTATAGCGACATGTTGAACCAGACAATTCAGCAGAAGAACGATCTCGCCAACCCGAAGTAGTAGAGATGTTTTTAAGGACGCAGCGTGCTTTACATATATGTAGGCGGTCAGTCGCTAGAACAGAATCGACCTTCTTTGTTTGGTACGACTGCACTTGAAGTTTCAGTTGTCAGTGAGACTTTACCAATGTGTGCTAACATTCTGGTAGTCGCCAGAGTACATGAGTTTAGTCTAATAGCATAATCTTTTTCAGACAAGAACTAACTAATCTGTGTCTCATATAACATTTTGCTTGGCTTAGTGTAATTCAAAGCCAGTCGTCAATCTTCTTCGTATTATCTACGAGAAAAGGTGGGCTTACATTCTACTGGTTGAAGTTTGGACAGGCTATCTAATTTTACACTTTCTAGTATTTCCTAGGTGCTGAACTTTAGGTTATAGCAAAATCTAAGAATGTCCTTTGGAAAATGTAGTGAAGCAGCTAGATTGTAGAAAACAGCCCGCTGACAGGGTACAAATGTAAGCTTGATGATCGTGGCTGGAGGTGTAATAGGAGAGTAGCGCCGAGTGGTAGCCACACGCTAACAAGTCCACCTCAGAAACAGACTAGCACGGCACTAATAGAGTTCTCAGCCAGAGCTGAACGAACGCATCTCGAGAATGCAAGGTTTGGCGCTAATGCCGGCTTCAGCAAGAAAGAAGGACCTGGACTCCGCAGTGGCCCGTCCCTTGCAAGTGGGGAAGACAAAAGTTACTCTAACAAGTTGTTGGCATCGAGCTGCCAGGAGCTGAGCGGCAGAGAACCCTTGGTATATCTTTTCAGACTTTCCTAAAAGCCGCGATGGACTGGTTGCTAGATGCGGCCTGCTCTGAAGCATGATTGCAAATTCAAGACAATCACCGTCGCCACGCGCCAAGATGCTCTCTTGACAGTACGATGCGGGGTAGCATCTATATCCTCCGGCTCGGAGGATTGTGGCTTGCTGACAGCCACCTGCATAGCTCTAGTCCACTCCACGAAAGCTGAACGCGCAAGAATGTGTTTCAAGCAACCGGAGACTTCACTGGACTGGTGACTCTGATTGTATGGTCGCATGAATTTGGCGGAAGGATGGCAGTGCATTGAGCTAAAACAGGTCACTACTATTATGCATGCTGCAAAGTGTGTTTCGCACTATTATTTTGTGCTCTGATGCTCTAACCTGTCCTCTGCCTTCTCAACGCTCTCAAACATACGGAGGATCTCCGATGTTCCATGTCGAGAGCGGCCGATACATTGGAAACCATACTCCTCGGTGGTGAGGTTCGGACAGAAGTCTAGTGACGGGTTAGGATGGTTCCCACGAATGTGTGCTTGAGGCCAAAGTTTTATAGCTCGGCGTTGTGGCTGCAATCATCAAGCTGAAAAGGATGCGGAAGGTCTGAGCTAGACGATCAAGCTAGTATGGCTGGTCTCATGGGCACCAGCCGCGTAGTGCTTTGCTCGAAAGTTGCAAGTTGAGTGCCACACGTCAAGCGTTACGAATCGTCTGTTATCTCCCAAAGTCTCTTTAGGCTCCAGCAATTTATACGAGTCTGAAGACAATTGTATAAAGAGCTCGAACTCCCGAATTTGTCTGGTTACATTCATCTTATCACACTCTGTTACCTCAAACCAAATTCATGTCGGATAATATTACAATCAATGGAAAGTCGGTCGCAGTCGACGACCAGAAACTTGATGCCTCCGATTCCGGTTACATACTCATTCGGACAACTGGCGAACCACTGAACAGGGCGCAGAAGCTAGAGCTTGCGACTTTGGGTGTCAAGCTCCAGGAATTCGTTGGCCAGAATGGTCAACAGCTCTACCTCTGCAGCTTCGAAAATGACTCGCTTGAGAGAGTTCGCAAGCTGAGCTACATTGACTATGCCAATGTCTACTCTCAAGACTTTGTCATTCCCGATGTGCTGCAATCAGCGTCTACGAGCATGCCTACTTCGGCCCACGCGGGCCAGGAGGCTTCTGAGCAAGTCGAGGTAGACGTGCTGCTACATCACGACATCAGTACGGTAAGCCCAGAGCTTCTCGAGAAGATTGCGAAGATTGCTCGGGTAAATCCGTCTGCGACTACTGTCTCCGAAGACGCGGCATCACCGGTCATGGTTCGCATCAAGGCTGGCGCCGCGGCACTTGAGCAGCTCGCCGGACTCGACGAAGTGCGGGTGGTGCATCCAGTGCTAGAGAAATCATTGTTCAATAATGTTGCGCGACGTGTCTTGGGGTTTGAAGAGATACAGGAGCGTGTGGCAGCCAACTACAACTACCCACGACCGGATGACGGTACCTCTGTGAGGGACATGGTTGGCGACGAGATGGCTGATGCCATGGAGAAGGACCAGGTCGAGAACTCCGGTCTTTCTGCTAAAGAGAAGGAACCAATGCTATATGATGGCAGTGGCCAGACCATATGTGTTTGTGATACAGGGTTCGACATGGGCAGCACTACGGACGTGCATGACGCATTCCTCGGGAGAGTTAAGGGGCTATACTCTTGGGGTAGACCGGGAAACAACGAGACTAATGATCCAGACGGACACGGAACACATGTGTGTGGCTCCGTCCTGGGCTCCGGGCAGCACTCATCCGAAGGCACTGTCCACGGGGCTGCCCCGGCAGCCACACTGCTTGTGCAGTCTATGTTTGTTCGCTTTAACTACGCCACGAATGCAATCCTGGGTGGCTACCCTCAAGATCTTGGGCAGCTTTTTCAACAAGCTTACGATGCCGGCGCTCGCGTCCACAGCAATTCCTGGGGTACTCCTATGCTCCCCTCTACACGAATTCAGCGACCGTATGACGCGGCAGCATCCAGCATTGACAAGTTCGTCTGGGATCATCAGGACATGACAATTGTGTTTGCAGCTGGAAACGAAGGCCAGGACTCTGACCTCAACGGCACTGTCAACGAACGCTCCCTAGGCGCCGAGGCCTCTGCCAAAAACTGCATCACTATAGGTGCCTGCGAGTCCTATCGTCCAGACCTGACGGTGGCGAAAAGTAACGCTCCTTACTCCTATGGCACATTCTGGCCCAACAAATACGCCAAGAACCCACTTAGAGACGATCACCTAGCTGACAATCCGGAGGGCGTAGCAGCGTTTAGTTCCCGCGGTCCGACTGCTGAGAACAGGCTGAAGCCAGATCTCGTAGCATGCGGAACCGCTATCTTGTCAGCCAAGTCGCGCTGCAAGAAGTACCTGACCTCAGTGGACAAGACAGGTATCTCTGCCGACGCACGGTACATGTATCTCTCCGGCACCAGTATGGCGACACCACTTGTCTCTGGATGCTGCGCTGTGGTGCGCCAGGCCCTGTACAATGCTGGCTACGAAGATGTGCAGGAAGTGATCAACCCGCTAGACAAAGCAGTTACTGAGCTTTTCTCAGAACAACTGGGTCCATATGTGCCAACGATCAAGAACAACCCTACCGCCTCGCTTATAAAAGCATTACTCATCAACGGTGCTGTGCCCATTCGTGGTCAGTACATGCCAGAATACCTGCCGAAAGAGCTTCCCGAGGGGTTGCCCAATCCACATTCAGGGTTTGGTAGGGTAAATATTGCTGCAACGCTTGCAAACATCAAGCAGACCGACTATTCGGGATGGAGATGTGATACCATCGACGAAGAGAAGGGAGGGGCCTTCTACACGCTTGTGAGCGTCCCGCTGCCGCAGGACGTTGCCAAGGGAGACCATAACAAGCCTGAGGCTTGGGGTTTCAAGACACTGAAGGTAACCATGGCCTACGCTGATCTCCCTGGCGCTGCACTTGCGAATGATTTGAATCTTGTCGTCGTCAATGTCTTCCAGAACAAGGAGCGTCATGGTAATCAAGGCCCAGGCAAGGACTTCGCCAAGGCCAGCAAGGAAGGTTTCGACCGCGACAACAATGTCGAGCAGGTCGTCTGGCCGGATCTCCAAGGAGGTGACCAAATTTGCATTCTTGTTAAGCCCTACCGTCTGATGAGCGAAAAGGTTCCATTTGCGCTTGTCTGGAAGTTTACCTAGGCTACTAGCAAACGAATCGTCGCGCACGATATGCGATATATTTGTGGCTTTGCCAGTCATCGGATTATGATTGGACTAGCAATGTATCCGATCATTAACAACAGCGTTAGGTCTTCTTTGAACAATGGATATGTATTCAGTTGGATCGACATCGTTCAAACACGGTTGACGTACAACGTCGCGGGATCGCTAAAGCTAGTGGTGAGATGGACGATGAGGAAAGAGGTTATGCTCCTCGGCGGGGTAGCATGGTATACAGACCGATTGGATAGGCACTGAATCTCGATGCGTCATTAAACATGCGGTTCAGCCAGCCACCCCGTTACGCGAGTGACTTGAGTGCCTAGAGTGGCAGACGCTTAGTCTTGTAGTGACACTAATGTACGAGTCTCACAGCTAGAACCGTGTCACTTGTGGTCTGGCCTTTCTCAGCAGGCTGACTAACCCCGTTGTCTAACGGCAGCCGGTATGGTGCCCAGCCATAACATTATCTGTGTGACGGCCACGTAGTGCTAGCGTAACAAAAAACGCCTTTCTCGCATGTGATTCAGCACACAGCAGAACATCTTGCGGTCTTGAAGCTTAGTTCAAAACCCGCAATCACATTAGCAAATAATTCATTAACTACTTTCTGATCATAGAGAAGCAGTCAGCTGGCAGCACAACTATCTCTTGTGTCATCAATATCACAGACCGGATGCCTATCACCGGCCCTCTAACCACGGCACCTAACTTTTCGTTTCGTCTTGACACGGAATGCGTCTTGGAAACGACCGAGCGTGATGGAAACGCTAACACAAACGAAGTGGACGAGTCTGAACGAGTCGTCACTGGGTTCGGGTTCTTGGGTTCTCTCGGCGACCTTGTCACGGATGCTGTGAACACTGCAGTTAAGGCGGCTGTCGGCGTCAATCCAGTCGCCGCAGGCGTTGACATTAACCAGTTCAACCAGATCATCAAGCTGGCTCAGAGTGCAGGGCTTGCCGCAGCCCAGGTACTCACTCCCGAGCAGGTAGCCATGCTGGGCATCAACTCAAGCCAATTCTACAGCATCATCGGCGGGGCTGTAGGCGTGACAGCACAGCCCGTCCAGCAGACCGTCGCCCAGGCGGTCAAGATCAATAAAGACTTCCCTAGCTTGTGGTTCGTCAACTTTCCTAAGCATATGGAGTCTCAGGACGTGGCTTTAGTGCATCGCTCTCGGCAGAACATGACCGACTTCAGGTCCTGGTCGAGTCAAAAGTGGTGGGAGGAGGTTGCGCGTCGCGACGGCGTGCCTGAAGACATGTTCCAGCGAGCAAGGCAGAGCAAACTGTTTGCGAAGATTGCCTGCGAGGACATGTGTAGAATGTCATGGTACGAGGCTCTCAGGTTCCTGATTCCGGTGACACATGACAAAACTAACATGTTTTCATCACAAAGGCTGCGCACGACGAAGCCACCCATCGACATCAATCGCAGCATCCGATGTATGGCTGGAACGCTTCATCATAATATCGTTTCGCAGGTGATGAGCGACTGGGGGAGCGTTGATCGCGATATCGTGGATGCCGTAGAGCCACTGCTCCAGGATATTGTCCGCTCAGCACGGGCGGGCGCCATTCCACAGGAAGCCGGCGAGCTGAAGGTGGTGATCCTGGAGAAATATGAGTGGGACGCAAACGCTCGAAGCGTCACATCTTGTAAGTGCCTGTTGGAGATTCCAAATTTTGTCTCAAATACGTCACCCTGCCAGTGCTTAGCAATGTTCCTGCTGTTCTAAAGGGTTACTAACATCTCGTGTTCATTCCAAATAGACATACGTCTCATCTCATTTGAGCTTAGCGAGGCTTTTTACAAAGTCATTAGCAACAAGAGTGACCCGATGAGCTATGTCAGCGTAGACCTTGCGCTGCTTCAGTATGAGGCAGTGTTCGAAAGCTCTCTCTGGAACCAGTTTGCTTTGACTCTCGAGAAGGACCAGAAGGATCCCTTTCAGGATTTCATTAACTTGCAAACAATCAACATCACGTAGTGTGATGCGACACAGTACGACTGGGTCCGGCATCAATTTTACGTAGGCAACACAATACGTTTTGTTCGAGAACCTGCCCTTCTAGCCTTCAGTAGAAACTCCGCGTTACAGTAGGTCTAGCCTGCTGCTGCCGGTCTGCTAGCGTCCTGCGTCGCTTCCATCGCCTTTTGTAATACTCTCTTCGTATCTTCGTCTATTGCGGTTCTCTGTACCTCCTCCATTCTTTCGACCCATAGTATCCATCTCTCTTCGTTGTAACCATTCCATTCTTTGCCAACAATGTCGCTACCTTGCTCAGCGCCACGGCCACCAAATCTCCTCCCTTCCTTACAAAAGGCGTAAAGAACTTTACTTGCATATATGAACCATGCCGCAGCTACTTTACAACCTTTGTCTCCACTTTTACTGTAGATCTGGCTCGGTGTAGAGTCCTCCAACACGGAACGCAGCGTCCAGATCGCGTACATAGAAAGATCTACTAGATTAGCAGCTGTAAGACGAGCCGCAAATGCGTTGATGTTGATTGGCTCTGCATGCCGCTCTACCGGGGTATTAGTAAACCGACGTTTGCTTGATGCTTTCACAACACATAACACTGATAAGGTAGGGTCAAATACCATCGTCCCAACTCTCTCGAATGGCGGGTCCAAGCAACGGAAGTTGTTTCCAAGTAGCTTGCTTGCCCCAGATTTCAAACGTAGCCGGTTCTTCTAGGTCAGCCACGGCCTTGAGGACCTCGATCACCCTGTCAAGCTTATGGGCTGGCGTTTGAGATGCGTATTCGACCACTTGATTCCAAATATTCCACAAAGCAGCCTCACCAGCCTGTGAATCACCAGCAGCGAATGCCGATCCAGCAGGTGTTACAAGAAAAGATGCAGCGGAAGAGACCGGCATAGAATCATCCATAGCTCGCAAGATGGTAGGAGAGGGACGCGGTAAACTTCGAACACCCCCTCCGCGACCACCTCCGCGACCAGCTCGTCCTCGCATTGAGAGGCTCATGTCTTACGCGGCGCACTGGACAGAACAGATGATTTACTCTGCAGGTAATCTTAACTGAGACATCCAAATTATCTGTTCGCGGGAGGATTGAGACTATACCTGGAAAGTTTCGGGTCTGATGTGATGTTTGTGGCCACCTTTTGTTTACTGCTCTCGTATTAGCCGTGGGTTGACTGGAATCGGCGAATTTTATATTCGAGATAGCAAAATGGGAGGTGACGTACACTGGTCACGACCTTGCGCCCTTGCTCGGATGTGTGTGGCTGCTGAATCCTAGCTAGCGTCCGATTAGCGCCTTCGCATGAAGGATGTCGGACCTGTTTAATGAGACACGTGCTGTTCTGACTAATCAATAGTCGACCAAGCTCTCACACTTGGCAGGCAAAGAAATACGCATGAAGTTCCAAGACTTTGAATCCAGAGTTGTTGCTGCCAAGCGCCGTATGTCGGGCCTACAACATAATCATTTCTCAGTTTACGAGCCATAACCGCACGGCGAGACAGTGCATGTCGTGTAGCTTGAATGCACCACACAGTACATGGTCGATGAGAATCAGGATCGTCAGAACACTCTAACCTTTCATCTCATAAATCAACTCGAGATTCGGACTCCAAATGACGGCACTTCATTGCCAAAACAAAGTACAATTGAGCATCTATTCTGACCTGAACAAGCATTGTAGATACTGATCTTGTACGAATCTTGCCAATTGCTGTGAAACCACTACCCTGTTGTAACCAACACAATCTCTGAATCAAACACATAGAACAAAGGCATTGGGTTGAGAATTTGGAGGGACACCGTTGTGCGTCATCGCACCAACGAGGTCGCAATTTCCTGTTGTTTGGTCGTAAGCAGCCATGCAACGGTCTGCTCCTGGTGCACCTGAAGATAAGCCATTAGCAAGTAACACTAGAGAAAAACATCCCGCGACAGCAGTACGAATGTTGCCAATGGTACGACAATCAAGCTATGCGATGCGGACAACTTCACTCACCTCCATTGTAAGGCCTGTTCCCACGAACTAGCGGATACTCGTATAGGTCTCCGGTGTACGACCCGAAGTTGAGGCGTTCACCGTTATTGAAGAAATGGGGGTAACCTCCCGGACCCTGTCTGTCATCGTACAGACAGAGAGTCGAACGACAAGCCTCCAGTTGGGAGTCAGTGTACCTAACTCCGTCACATCTCACAGCACGTTTCTCAAGCACGTGAGACGGAGTGGGTGTTGCAAATGCCGACCCAGCGAGGAGCGAAACAGCCAGTAGAGTCTACAAGATACTGTTAGTTTGAAGCTCGAGCTATTGTTCTGTTGTTAAATGTTTGTGCCTTGGTTAACATAGTTAGAGGGTGTTGACAGGCGACTGCAAGGTTGGTTTTCAAAGTCGAGAAGATCTTGATGATAACGAGTGACAAATGAAGATATCTCCATCCTTAATTAATGATCTGCTTTTTATACAGAGGTGATACTAAAGCTCCACCACTATCGTAAGATACTAAGTTAGGTTGGTTTTACCAAGGAGAATATCTACCCAATCACGCCTTGGCGTAATGTCCGGCATTCCCGGATCTAGAGAAGTTACGCAATGTTCATGGAATAACTATCATCTAGGGATTACACGAATCATGAAATTGTCAGCGATTACATGTTGTCTACGATGTTGTGCTTCCGTAACTATGTCTTTTGGTATGGGAAGAGTAGATGCAAGGGGTTGCGCTCAAGGAGCTATCGCACAGTTACAATGAACTTTGAAGTGATAAAGAGAAGAACCACAAGTGATTGAGGTTCTGAAAACTGTTCAAGGGACGGTGGTCCGGAATATACGTACGCATGATCCGTTTTCTTGAGGGATCTTGGATAGAAGAACAGTGACGTCCTAGCGGCTTGTCAGGTAAGCCCTACGTCGCTTCATTTTGTTAATCGTATTGTGCTCGAAATCCAAGTCGAGAATCGGCCCTACATTGGTCATAGTGGCTGGCGCTTCCATTGTAAGTCCGTAGATTAGGACTATATCGCCTTTAATCAATTCATGCTTCCGATACATATAAAGGGAATTGTCTCTGTCGTCTTCCAGATTCATCACTTATCATATCGTAACACCTTCGCACTATCATTATCAACACCACCCATCGTCTCCATCAAGTTCAGACTTTCTCCGCTTTCTGTTCAAACTCACTTCAGAATTTCCATCAGATCAACGTAAGTCTTCTCCAACAGGAGTGTTCTGCTTTTATCTTACTTCTCCCAGATGGTCCAACTCAACACTCTCCTGCTCACCACCCTTGGCCTCGCTCTTCCCGCAGTAGCGCAGAGGGACTTTTGTGCGGCTATGTCTGGCGAACCTTGGGCTGAATCAGCAACCGGATTCAGGTTTCAATCGACTAGCACATCGACTTGGAACTGGTTCTCTCGCGATCGTGGAACCGATCTGAAGATCTACCAAGATTGCAATGTTGTACAGAACCGACCCAACAGCCAACGGGCTCTTCGAACAGTGTGCATCGCTACGTCCAACAACTACCGGTGCTGGGAGGCTCCTGGACAGAACGACCCCATTGGAAGTTGCTTCATTCCTGATTGTTCTAACATCCGCAATGTCTGGGGCTGGTATGATTAGATCCTCGTTCTTTTAGGTGTAGGATGAAGGGGATGGGACTTTCACAGTTTTTCATATCTCTCGTATTGACGAAAAGTAGCAATTAGAATTATCTAGGAATAAACTGTTCAGGTTCGACGTCTCGAAACCATCACAAAACTTTTTGCAGAAAAGAATCTTCCACCTATGGCCGTCTCTTGCGCGTAATAGCCTCGTCACTAGTTCCCTGTAGACATATGCGCATCCGTAAGATCGCATGTACTTCCTCCCGCCTTAGTTAGCGTTGATAGGAGTGCAGCCGAAGTTGACGATGCCCTAGAATAATATTGTTAGCGAATATACGTTTGCAATAGCTTAGGATCTGTATTACATTTTGCTCCATGTCTCCACAGCAGACGGCCGTCTGTTTGCACATGTTCTTGATGGGAACGGCACCTCCAATAACAGCAACCGTGATATCGCTGCACTGGCCGAGGAGGTTCTTGATACCGCCAACATCGGGACTGAGGCCGTCATGGTTGGTGACCGCCTGGGCAGTCTCGTCGTTGCAGCAGTGAGCGGTGCTGTTGGCGCCACAGCTATCCGCGCGCTCGAAGACATTGAAGTTGGTGGGAACAGCCGCGACGAAAGCGACGAAAGTGAAGAGAGCGAGGATGATAGACTGGATAGACATCTTGAAAGGTTGTTGATGGGTTGATTGCGAAGAGACGAAGAAGTCAGGAACGAGTTTGGGGATTGGAAATGAGTGTAGTTAGAAGTGAGTGTGGTTGGTTGGAAATGAGTGTGGTGGTTGTTGTTGTTGTAAATGATTGTGATGAGATGTTCGACTTGGGAAGCCAGAGCAGGCGATATTTATACGTGAGAGGAGACAGCCACGTTTGAAGCGGATGGACTAGTGACTATCGATGCTATTCAGGAACTTCGGGTTTCGTGGAGACAGATCAGCAAGACTACTGCACCGCAATACAGCACTGACTGATTAGGAAGTTACTCCACTTCACTATCGTTTACATCTCTGTTCAGAGCGACGATGGGTAAGTCGTAGTGACGTCAGTGACACTTAGTGTAGCACTGACCGTACTTTCGACGTCTCAAAAGCCGACGCATTATGCGATAGACTTTCCAGCCGTGTACAGTGTCAAACGCGAAATCTGAGGCGTCTTCAAATTCTAGGGCAATACAACAGAGGGGGCATAATCCCCGATCACTCAGCTATCGGTTCGTTCGCTATCTAACAACCAAAAAGGGCTCTGAACAATGGACGTCTGACTGCAGCGAATGGACATGTCAGTCTTGCGGCATCAATTTGTGAAGAGCGGTGTAAAGTGATCTTGATTCACAATCCCGCCGTGATACGTTGTTCACGCTAAACCACGAATGAAGTGCGCGGCTGAGGCCTTGGCGATATCATATTCATTATTCCTAAAAGAAAAACCACTTTAAGCGAACATTCTCATTAGGATCGACGCCAATAGGCGGGTACAGCGACCGTGCTGGATCAGTAACTCGGTCATCAGAACATGATAATTGCTTCCGATCTCCACGCGTCGTAATTTCCACAATATGAATGCAGTTCAGGAAACGAATGAAGCTACTGACTTCGTGCTCGTTTTGGCCATGTCTGGATTGGGCTATCCTAGCAACATCGAGATACCAAAAAGAAAGACTGCGGAACTACCCAAAACAGCTGTACTAATAGAATCTTCTTTTCTATTGCGACTCACCCTTTTGTCTATCGGTCCGTCTCTCGGTGTTGGTGGAGGCTTATGTGCAGGCTAAGTGGTGCTTTGTTTGATTCAGCGATAAATCTTTCGCTTCTGTGGTATGGTGACATCTTCAGACGAGAGTGAGCAGTGCGGGAAGCCTTTGATCTCCTCGTATCGAGTGACGCCCCATTTGACTTTGGCGAGGTGTACATTGGCTTCTGTGGGCGAGGGGTGGCAGGCGGCGCTTATCACGAGACTACAAGATGCTGCAAGGGGCATCTTCACCGACATTGTCCTCAGTCCAACGAAACCCACAACACAGAGCAATGCAAGTGAAGCGAAGAGCAACACGAAGAGACTCAGTGCAGAGAAACCACATGCCGACTTTGCGGCTGGACCTATCGTTCCGTCGACGGGATATTTGACAAGATTGCCGTCGCGATCGTAGAAGTCTGTTCGCACGAGGAAAAAGCTTTGAGAGAGTAGCCAATGCAGTGTTCCACTGGTGACCATAAGTGGAAGACTCCATCGGTATGGCAGCTGTGAAAAGTAAGTGCTTCGCTGGTCCTGAGCTGGTTTCGTGACTCGAAGGCCTTTTCGAGAGGTTGCGAGATGATTCCATTCAACAGCTCCAGCCATCGCGGTGCAGATCATGTTCACCGTAAGGTAGCCGAAAGATAGCATCAGCTGTGGTACGTTGGCAAGCCAGGCGTTGCATAGAGTAGCGACACCAGTTCGTTCTTCTGATCCAAGTGACAAGTCGTCATCCGATGCGGAACCCCAATTCCAAGAGCCCCTCGATCCGTCATCGTCGATAGAGTATATTGGTGCCAACGCGATCAGAAGAGCGATGGTGAGCAACCTAGGCCGTTAGCTACGAAATGAGTCTTGATCATACTCACTCACAACATCGTGTACCACACCTTCGCTGCACGATGAACTGGTGTGAAATATGACCGTGACTGTGGAAGCCAGACGCCTTGGACACGTGAATCCAAATCTGCCTTGTCATCAAGATTCGAGATAGGATGGCTAGGTGGATGACCCAAAGTAATAAGCAGCTCTTCCCGACCGAGGATGCCCACGCCAATGGTGTGAGGATCTGGACGCTCTAAGAAGGATGCTGCAGCATCTCCTAAAGTGACAAGAAATGTCGAACGGTCAGTGATCAAGACATAAGCCATGATGCCCAGCTTGCTTAGATTACAAAACACGACGACGAGCATGAAATAAAGGCTGACTTCCACTCTACTGGGTGGACTGCCCCTCTTCTCCGAAGCTGCTTGTACTACATGAGCTGAAACGTTCATTCTCGGTGAATTGTCATCTGGCTGAAGCTCGTATCTTATCCATACTGACGACTCCATAATGAGTTTTTGTATGTATGTCCGATGTCCAGATACGTTGAGCGACAGATACTTTGACACTGTTTCTGCTAGATCCTGATTCGTGAGATTCTGCGTAGTGTCGAAGGCCACCCGGTCTACCCCGAGATATAGATCACCGTGTAATGGCAAAAATTCGCTGTTGTACACGTCGGTCCACCGGCTGTTTGTGAGGTTCCAGTTGTTGCCCCCAGTCCAGCTGCCGACGTCGGTAGTTGAATTTACACGTTTCCAGCCATCTGATGTTACATCCAAGGTAAAAATTCTGTAATCGTTTGGCGAACTCGTGATGACCTTGAAAACGGAAGCGTTATAACTAATCAAAGTTAGCAAATGCAAGACTTCTCCGCTTAGGAAGTACACACAACAAATGCAGAGGGATAGACGACGGTCCTAGCATGCACCAGAGTGCTGCACGTTTTCGAGGAATAAGTCTTAAGTTCCGGGGGCTGAGAATTCCAACATCGAGCCAATCTCCCCGAGCGTGAACAGCGTCAACATCCTGCCTTGTCGGCGAACTCAAAACCTGCATAGTGTAGTTTGAGCCAGCGAGTAGCATCGTACTGAGTGCGTTGATCAAGACGTGCAATGCCGTGTTCCATCGTGAGATAGTAATTTCATCACCAACTTTGAGACTAGCTATGCCCCCAGTATCGTAACCATCTCCAGTGGTGGCTGCCACAATAATCATAGATATGTTGCAGCACAGGACGAAGGTGGACATACAGCAACCAAGCAGTACCCCCATCCGCCAACCGTGGAAACGACTGCCACGGATCCAACGTTGCAGCCGTGTGTCGAGGGCTCCCGACAGCCCTTTTAGTGGACGCGGAAGCGACAGAATCGACGTGCGATTCTTGGGCGCGTCGATGCGAGCAGACCCTTGCTGTGTATCATCAGACACGAGGCTTTCTGGCTCAAGGAGAGAGCTATGGGAAGCTGTGTTCAAGTCCTCGGAAGCGTGCCTTTCTTGTAAATTGTATAATCGCTCTTCATTGTGACGCCTTTCATGTGACTTGAGGTTATTCAGATGCGAGAAGGACTGGCCACACCCAGGTGTCGCGCAATGAAATGGCTTATCACCGGCATGGGCGCGTATATGGATGTCAAGATGCGTCTTCTGGTAGAAGCTCTTGTTGCAGTTGGGAAAAGTGCAACGATGACACTTCCTGGGCCTCTGGACATTCTCCGATGCGTCGTCCTGAGAGATATCCCCTTCGCCGTGTCCGGTAGCATCATTGCCCGTGTGACTGCCCGCATAGTTGATCCCAGGCGGCATGAAGTTTGTAGACTCTGGGTTGTTCACTGGTGACGTCTGTGTGAGGCTGCGTTGCTCGAGCATAGACAGCGGTAAATTATCGCTAAAGTGTTCGTTTCCTACTGCCAACAGTGGCAGCAGGGGTGCTCGCGAAAGGTTTCCAAAATCATTAGCCATTAGTGCTTCTGGCACAGGTAAAAGAGGTACCGAGAAAGAAGAAGGATATGCATGGCAACGAGACAATGAGAATCATGGACTTATTCTTAACAGATTGCGGCCAGGCTGAGGCTTGTGTAGTGGTGGCTGGCCGAGGAACAGCCCCCAAAGTCTGTACACCATATTGCTCGCATCTGATTGGTATACACTGATGGTTGTATGCAACTCAGCCGGTGCGGCTGGCCCAGTGGGTGTGTCCAGACTGTCGTATGAAATTGTATGGTGAATGGAGGGGCAGACACGCATGGCGAGCGCTTCCCCGTGATGCGCGCGGAAGACACTCATAGTGGTTGATGACAGTTTGGCGGGATGGGAGTACTTGGAAGTCGAACGCAGCACCGCAGCCTGACACCCGCGCGATGAGCCCAAATAATATCTGACATATCTAATTGGTGGTTGCATGCAGGAGTATGCATCTGGACTATGTGAGGCTGAGGCTATGCGGAGATGCTTTTCGAAGCCACTGAATGGGTGTGAAGAGCTTGACGAAGCTGTTTAGGACGTCGGATCATGGAGGGACATTCTTATGCATACGAAATTAAGGCGCTTCGCGATGCGGAGCCCTTTGCGAAGCGCACAGAACATCACTTGGCAGTCATCAATGATTGTTGGGCGGGGTGGAAGAAGCTGGAAGTCGCGATCATGAGTGGCACGTGAAGCAAAGTTCCGCGGCTCAGGTGTGACCTCATAATGTCAGCACAGCCCTAGTGCATCTCACTCGCCTTTCATCCTTCCACCTATACCAACGCGCACCTCAACCTCGCACATCGCATCGCACGCAGCCGGATATCGCGACACACTCATCACTATGGGCGCACCCAAATACCAGAACGTGCCTCAGCGCGACTCGCTCGACGAGGCCGCGCCGGCGCCCTCGTACTCGCAGGCGCCACCCAGCTATCAGGCAGCCAACGACCCCCAAGAAGCTCTCCTCAGCGGCGTTCCTCGAAGCGAAAACGACAACGTGCCCGATGACTTCAAGTTTGGCGGCGTCGTGGCCGAGGCGACGCTGGACATCCGGATGGCCTTTATCCGGAAGGTGTATGCCATCTTGTAAGTAATGCAGGTCGCGGCCCAGTACCGCAGAAGCTAACCACGCGCAGGACTGTCCAGCTCCTCGCAACTGCCGCCGTAAGCGCCCTCTCGATGATGTCGGAGTCGTACAAGAACTTTATCCAAAGCACCCCATGGCTTATGTGGGTGTCGCTGATCGGCTCCTTCGTGTTCCTCGGCCTCACCTTCTGGAAGCGCAAGTCGTACCCTACAAACCTCCTGTTCCTCGCCGGCTTCACCGCCATGGAAGCATACTCCATCTCGGTCATCGTGTCCTTTACCGATTCCAAGATTGTGCTGCAGGCGCTCTTCTTCACGCTGGGCATATTCATCGCGCTGAGCTTGTTTGCATGCCAGAGCAAGTACGACTTTACGCACTGGGCACCGTACCTCTTTGGCGCGCTCTGGGTGGTTGTGCTGTTTGGCTTCATGTCCATGTTCTTCCCCAGCAGCAGCACGGTCGATCTAGGGTATGGCGTCGTTTGCGCGCTCATCTTTTCTGGATACATCCTGGTGGACACACAGATGATTATGCGCCACTACCATGTGGAGGAGGAGATTGCGGCGTCCATCTCGCTCTACCTCGACATCATCAACCTGTTCCTCGCCATCCTGAGGATTCTCAACTCGCAGAATCAGAACTAGAGGGAAACAAGGTAGGTGTTTAGTAGGGGCTGTAGGTTCACTTGGGAGAAATTGCTGGGCGTTATGGATATCATGTTCTCCAAGCCGAGAAGCGTATGAGGTTAAGCGGCTGCGCTTGAATAAATTTCTGTCTTTTAGCCGTAGTAATGTAACATGACCACTGCACTTGTCGACTCCATGTTGGTAGCGGACTGGACGCGACAGCTATGATTGAATGTGCCGGCTTCTTCCAATAGCTGTGCATGCATATCGGGTCAGGCCATGGCGGGGTATTATGGGGCCGCAGAAGGCGTGGGGGGTATGATTGGTCGGCAAGGTGAAACGCCCGCGACCCTTGATTTTCGGAGCAGGAGCACGAAGCTTGAGGACTTGGCACAACGAAACCTGCAGCAACTTGACGATAACGGCTGCAGGGGCCCCATTGGGAGCAGACGAGGACGGCACAGAGCTTGCAGAGCTTTCTCGTAGGATCGCCACCTCCTTTTCTCCGTCGCAACAGCCTCTCGCTCTGTCCTCGTTGCACCCAGAGGCGCATGCTGCGGTGGAGTTACGCGAGCCCCATTTTTGAAGTGGCCCATATGGTAGCGCGCTCCAGAATCACAGCTACTACATACAGCGATTGCTGCTAGCTCCCGCGACACCTGTCCAGAAATACAGCGGGAGCAATTGGATACCTGCGAGACAATTCTTTCACTCAGACACGCAGCAGCCAGGCAGAAAGAGAGGCAACTCGCGTGGCCAGCTCAGGAGATTGTTGATGCGCGCTTGCCCCATCCATCTCTAAACCCTGAATATCTTTGCTTGGGACCACCACACCGCTCCCTCGACAGCACAACTCGTCTGCCCGCGCGCAATTCGTTCCCCTGCGCGGCTACTCCTCCCGTACGCTGTCAAGGAGCCCCAGTACCCATTATTTTCCTGCCTTTTCCTGCTCAATGGCTGTTGGTTACTGAGACACGCACCCACCCGATTACGTCGTTCGCTAAGAGGTGACTGTTGAGCGGGCAATTGAACTTGCACCCAGAAACCCACACGCCGCATCAACCCCCGGGACCCTTCGCCGGACTGCAATCACCACCGGGACGCCTTTGTTCCGCCCATTGACCCCACGATCGGTCCGCCTTTCGACTACCAACACTACTGCGACAGCGTCGCTACAACTCGCACTCGCTCCCCATCACGGGCCATAGTACAAAATAGCCGCCATGGCGACAACACAGCACAGCAACGGCGCGCTGCCAAAGACACACACGGTGCACATGCGAACCGAAAAGGCACCGTCCGCGCCCAAGAGGCGGAAGATGCAGGCGAACAAGGTTGACGATGAGGGGCTCATGGCCTCGCTGTGCACGCTCATCTGCAATCACCAGATCGGTACGCCGACGCACTGCTCCTAATCATGGCTCCCGTACTGACTACTGCAGGCATCTCCGTCAACCTCCTCACCCTCCTCTGCCTCACCCACACATTCTTCCCCCGCGCCCGAAGCCGGACCTCCAAGTTCTTCCACATGTCGTACTACAACCCCGAGACGGACATGTACGGCTGTGGCACCGACGACCTGCCCTTTGTCCTGCTGTGGACCGTCATATTCACCGGTGTCCGTGTAGCAGTCATGGAATACATGCTCGACCCACTAGCGAGGCTGGGTGGTATCCGGACAAAGAAGGGGCTGGACAGGTTCAAGGAGCAGGCATGGCTAATTGTCTACTACACTGCGTCGTGGTCTCTAGGAATGGTATGTCACACCCCGCCAGAATGCGCAGAATGGTAGTGCTAACAAGGTGACAGTACATCATGTACCACTCGGAGTTTTGGCTCAATCTCCACGCCATATGGGAAGGCTGGCCTTTCCGGGAAGCAGATGGCCTGTTCAAGTGGTACTATCTAGTCCAATGGGGCTTCTGGGTCCAGCAGATTCTCGTTGTCAATGTTGAGGAAAAGCGCAAGGACTATGCACAGATGTTCACACACCACATCTTCACTACCGCGCTCATGTGCTTGTCCTACGGGTACTTCCACATGCGCGTCGGTATCGTCATCTTGACCATCATGGACTTTGTCGACATCATCTTGCCCGTAAGTTATCCCCACACCAGAACCCCAAGTTGGAAACTGACAAAACAGACTGCCAAACTGCTCAAGTACATGGGCTATTCCAACGCCTGCGACTACGCCTTTGGTCTCTTCGTCATCTCCTGGGTCGTCACCCGCCACATCCTCTACATGATGGTTTGCTGGTCCATCTATGCCTACGCACCCGTCGATATGGCACCCGGCTGCTACTTCGCCGACTCCACCTCGAAGCAGACCTCGTTCGTCCCTGCATCCAATGCCTCGCAGTTCGAAGCATACGGCGGCAACAACCACTGGGGCAATCTCCTCAAAGCATACAGTGACCGCAACGGACCCATTTGCTGGAACCCCCAAATCCGCTACTACTTCCTCGCGCTCCTCCTTACTCTACAAGTCTTCTGCTGCATTTGGTTTGCCACTATTGCAAAGGTCGTGTACAAGGTGCTCAAGGGTAACGCGGCTGAGGATTTGCGTTCCGACGACGAGGGCGAGGACGAAGAGGTTGAGGTCGATCAGACCAAGACGATTTTCAACATGGCGACTACGTGTGGTGAGAGCGGCATGAGCTCAAGCGGCGGCATGACTGCGCAGCAGCCAAAGGAAGAGGAAGTCGGCGTTGATGCGCTGACTTTTGCACGTCTGAATGGGGCCAGTCAGCGACGACAGGCGAAGAGGGAGAGTGCAAGGGAGAGCGCGAGGGTGAGTGGGATTAGTATTCCCGGTCATGGGGATCGTAAGGAGCTTTTGGGTAGGATTGGGTGTGATAAGCCTTCTTGAGCTTGTCTTTCTCTCTGCCTCTGGCGATGAGATCCTTGAGTTTTGCAGTCACGAAAAGTATTCGTGGGCGTCAGAGGCGTGTGTAGCATACAGTTGCAGGTTTCCATTTTTTTTTCTCTTGATGGTGTATAGGTTTTCAAGGAATATGTCACTACTAGAGGTGTGTAGTTCCGATCTGCGTTGATGATACATGTATACTATACCCCTAGAGATCGAATTTAGAGTGTTCATAGCTCATGGGTGTGTTGACGATCGTGCAGTGCTGAAGCACACAGAGAACGGTGTTGAACCACACTGTAATCCGATGTCATGTAATCCCACTCTCAAACCTCGGCTCATACTTAGTGTGAGAATGGGATGGTGGGATGGTGGGGCCGGCATAGGTACTAACAACAAACGTGTACCTCGGACGATAATCGACAAACAAAGATTCAACAAGAACACGTGCTGTGAACGCAATCTCTGCGTTGCTTTGTGATCCATAGTTGAGACCCGTGTTGTGTACCATACGCCTTCACTGCTGCGGTCATAACAATACCTCCACACTACCCATGCGAACAGCGACCCGCAACCACTCGTTATAGACTTCTCCACCACCAAGCAACCACACCAACATCAACCGAAACACCAGCAACAGAAACATCCATAGCAACTAGACAATGGCGACGCCAGACAACACTACTACTCTTCCCTCCCCACCCTTCTACACGCACATTCCCAACATCAACAACCTGCGCTTAGCCACCCACTCCCTCACCACACAATCCGGTGCAACACTCCGCCCAAACCTGCTCTTCCGCAGCGCCGAAGTCTCAAAAGTCGATGCTGCGGGCTGGACAGCACTGCGCCAGCTAGGCGTCGGGCATGTCTTTGATCTACGGAGTAAACCCGAAATCGACAAGGGTCATTCGAACAACGACAACAACAACAACAACAGCAACAGCAAAGACGACGCCAATGCAGACGCAGTAGTCGGTAGCAAGGCAGGAGGAGAAGGAAGCATGCAAGAGGCGGGCGTGCAGAGAACGTGGGTGCCAGTCTTTGAGGAAAGCGATTATAGTCCCGAGCGCCTGGCGGAACGGTATGCAAAGTACATGGATCAAGATGTGCGTGGCTTTGTAGAAGCGTACTCTGAGTTTTTGAAGAGCGGGGGGAATGCGTATGGGGTTATACTGCGGTATCTAGCAAATTTATCCGCTTCTGCTCCAGGACAAGGAGAAGGAGAAGAAGGAGTGAGGCGACCACGAGGTGCTTTGATACACTGCACAGCGGGCAAAGACCGAACGGGAATGTTCTTTGGTCTCTTGTTCGATTTTCTGGGTGTGCCGCGCGACCAGATTGCGACGGAGTACCATCTCACGCAACGAGGTCTTAGCGGCGTTCGCGAACAAGTCGTCGCGAGGTTGCTTGCTAGTCCGGCTTTTACAAAGTACATGACTGCGCAAGCGTCGGGTACACCCATCTCGCCCGGCGATATCGCAAAAGCCTTGCATGATGACGCGGCGAGGGGATCGTCGACTGGTAGCGATGGCGATAAGCAGATTCCACAGGAGATTCTGGATAAGGGGAGGGAGGCGGCGTTGAGGATGGTGAGCGCGAGGAAAGAGAGTATGCTGGGGGCGCTGGAGATGTTGGATAGGCAGTTTGGTGGGGCGGAACGGTACATGCGGGAGGTTTGTGGGCTCGGTGATGGAGAGTTGGAAGGGTTGAGGAGGAATCTCCTGGTTGGACATGGACGTGGGGCGTGACTAGGAAACGATGGGAAGAACAAGGCAAGTAGGCTGTGAGATTGGAGGTGGATTGCGCAAACTGTCATCGATGAAGAAGAAGGGTATGATTAGAATGGTCGTTGCTTAGGATTTGCGATAGATGTCACCTGTTCGTCTAATCTCATCTTCAACGTCCTTGCCCCTCCCTGCAGCTTCTAGCTTCCTTACTAGTGGTAATACCTCCTTTCCAAAGCGTTCAAGATCCTCCTCGTAATGCAGATGCGCCGTCAGCACCAAGTCAACCCCCAAGCTCTTCAGCAAAAGGATCCGATCTGCAATCTGCTCTTTCGTCCCAATCAACTTGGTCTTGAAGCCGTCGTTATATTGCACCAAGTCTTCGAGTTTGCTGTCTGCCCACATGCCCTTTTTATTCCCCGTGCTAGCACCAGCTTGCTGCACGGCTTGACGAAAAGCTTCAACAGCTTCCGTATCCGCTTTACCCTGAATCTCCCTCAACACGCGAATAGCCTCCTCTTCCGTTTCGCGGATAATGACGAAGCCATTGACAGCAAACCTCACCTTGCCCTCGCGCCCCACTTTGCGCGCGCGCTCCTTCACATCCGCAATCTGCTCACGGAAACCATCCAGATCGTTGCCGTTCATGAAATACCAATCGCTGACCTCGGCCCCGTTGTTCCTCGCATCGTCGCTATTCCCGCCTTGGAAAATCTCCGGGTGTGGTTTCTGAAGCGGCTTGGGCGCCAACTTGTAGTTTCGGAATTGGTAAAAGTCGCCGCCAAAACTGAAGCCTTCATCGCCCGCAGTCCAGATACCTTTTAATGCGCGGATGAACTCGTTGGATCGCCGGTACCGCTCCGCATGCTCGAGCCACCATTGCCCAACAGCCGTGAACTCGCTCTTATTCCAGCCTGAAACGATGTTTACTGCAATACGCCCATTGGTGTAATTGTCGATACTCGCAATCTGCTTTGCGGCGATAGTAGGGTTCCAGGGCCCGGGGAGTATCGCCGCGATGAGCTTGATGCGCTCGGTGCTGTGCAAAAGCGCTTGCGACAGGGACACGCTCTCGTGCTGGTTTTCGGCTCCGTACGAGGCAGTGAAACGGATTTGAGTGAGCGCATACTCGAACCCGTGGGCTTCGGCTGTCTTGGCGTAGCGCACGTTGGAGGCCAGGTCCCAGTTTGTTTTTTGGGGAATCTTGGAAACGACGAGGCCGCCTGAGACGTTGGGGACCCAGTACGCGAATAAGAGACGGTTTGGGTCCTGGTTGAGGTCTAGTTGTTTTGTGGGCGTGTAGCCGTCGGCTGGTTCCACGGATTGTCCATTTGTGCCGTTTGTTTTGTTGTTGTCTGTTGCGGTTGGAGAGATAATCAGTCTTGCTCTTGTTGTTATGAATGTAGTGTTCTGGCAGTTTTACCTGTCCTTTGTCTCTTTCGTGCTGACATGTTTGTTTGCAAGAGACAGTAAAACTCGAGCACGAAAATGGCTGGATATACTGGAAAGAGATGTTGAGCTATGATGCCATGCGATGTCAACCTGGGGTACTGTTGTCGGCAGGATGTGCGAACATTAAGCGTGGATTGCGTGCTGTGTAGCCGTCCGTGGGATCTGTGGGGTTGATGCAGGTTAGATTATAGCCCCGTAGATCGTGGTTTATTCGCCGAGGATCATACAACTCCAGCATCCCGGTCTTATGGATGATAAGCTGTGACCGAGTAGCCCGCAGCAGCCCCAGACGTCCGGCTCCTTCAATTGGCTGTCAAGGATCTTCGGTCGCTCGTCGATGAGACAATCCGAGAGTTCCAAGACGTCATGTGCCGGTGGTTGCAGTAAAATAGCTCTATAATATCGACCCCACACTATAATGCAGATACTCCAGCATAGTGCCCTTCAACGGGGATGCGAAATCATGCCGGTGCGATGATGATGCTGAACATTGTCCAGCGCTATGAGTAAAGCCGAAGCACGTAATAAACCATCGCATAGTCGTGATGACTACTCATAGACAGTAGAGATGTGCCGCGTCGATACCGGAGTTACATCAAGTATACGCCCATGTCCATTTAATACAAAAGGCTGTGATTTGGAGTCAGTTGGCAGCATGAAGATTCCCGTGCACACAGACAAGCATGCCTGATTTTTCGACCATCGACTTGAACAGCAAAAGCAGCGCTGGCACTACTGATGTCGAGAAGCAGCTCACCCATGAAAGCCCCACTGTGCCTGTCGCAGCTCCAAAGACACTGGGTGCAGGAGTAAGTAGCGCTGGGCAGATAAAACATTGGTTAGCTGACTTGTCAAGACAGCACTGCCGATTGGGGTATTCGCGACAACCCTTACTACGCTTTCGCTCAGTCTCATGGAATGGCGAGGAGTGACTACGGCCAATGTCTTTGTAGCCAACTTCTTCTTCGCGGCGGCTTTCGGTTAGTCTTCGGTATGGATAGAGTATGTCAGACTTGGCTGACTCCATACTAGGCCTGGTGGTTACTGCACAATGGGAGCTGTCCGTCGGTAACGGCTTCGCATACACAGTGTTTAGTGCTTTTGGCCTGTTTTATGCTGGCTATGGCGCGATCTTAACACCAGCTTTTGGAGTGCGAACAGCATATGGAGACAATGTGAAGGAATACAACAACGCTCTTGGGTTCTTCATGATCAGTCAGTCGCTCTAGACCGCCGAGGAACAAGAGTACCACTAATCATAGCATAGTGTGGACGGTTTTCGCTCTGGTGTTCCTTGTAGCCTCGTTGCCGACAAACTTGGTATACATCATCATCTTCTTCTGCGTAGAGCTAGGATTTCTCTTAGTCTCGGCGTCTTACTTTGCCGTGGCAGATGGACATCCAACTGCGTCGATCTCTCTCAAGAAAGGCGGTGGTGCATTCTGCTTCTTGGCTGGACTGACTGGGTGGTACCTGACGTTCGCTCTGTTGCTGAAAGACTCCATTGTCGAGTTACCACTTGGCGACACTTCGAGGTTCTTTGCGAAGAGCAGAAAGGCGCAGTGAGCGACAAGTGACACTCTACTTCGAATGGGCGATAGGGGGGCACCTCGGCGATGTGCAGTTTGCAGAACGACGTGACGGGTGATAGTGATTCGGGGTTGAGGATGATGCGATTGAGGGGTTAGATGGCGAACGCGGTTTGGGTTCAATAGTGAGCTCGGAGGTAAGACTAGTCTATTTCCAGTTTAGCTCATATGCAAAGACGCGGATATCCCCACCATCAGCCTTTGTCGACGCGTCCCACTTCCATACTCACGCATTCACATGTTGCAACGCTACTACAATCCGCGCTCTACCCCCACGGCATCGCAACGATCTATTGCTGCAGGTATGCCGGCAGATAGCTCGATTATCACAATGTCGGCGGCACATCCCTGTCTCAATCCTCCGTTCTGATGACCACTCACGTTTTGTCCACCTGCTCGACTGCATCCATACAGATAGGTCGCAAATGAGACGATAGCACGCAATAATTTGGGTCTCTCGAATCATTTCGGAGCTCTTTTAACGATTGCCTGCATATAAGGACATGCATCGGAAGGTTGATGATACACGCCACATAATTAGGCTTCATCGACATCTTGAATACGCACACGATGGCCATTACCAACGGAACTAATGGTCCACATGGGAACGCGAAAGACGTGAGATTTAGGGATCCGGCTGTTTACGCCGGGTATGAAAAGCAATGGTCGTCCGTTCCGGAAGATGAAGCAGGTTGGCTCCAGCGTGCGCAAGAGGTTGCAGACGTTCTTGCCACTGATGCCGTCGTGCGAGACCAAGAGAACAAATCTCCGCGAGCGGAAGTAGCTCTACTGAAGAACTCTGGGCTTCTCAAGATCCTTGGTCCAAAGCAGTATGGTGGCGGTGGTCAGCAATGGAGTGTTGCCTACAGAGCCATTCGGAAGGTAGCTGAAACAGATGGGTACGATTGGTCCTTTCTTGTTCGCGTCTATGTATTGATTATTGTAGTTCAATCGGCATGCTGCTCGGCTACCACCTGCTATGGTCGACCACGGCGAACATTGTCGGTTTACCTGAACAAGCCGACCGCTTCCAGAAGCTCATAACCGAGAACAATTATTTCATTGGAGGCGCTGTGAACCCCAGGGACAGCGACTTGTCGATCAAATCGGATGGGGCAAACATTGTGTTCAACGGGTTCAAGTTTTTCAATACTGGTGGTGTTGTCTCCGACCTTACCGTTCTTGAGGGTGTCTATGAAGACACAGGCAACCATATCTTCGCTTTCGCGAAGACCGATCAACCCGGCATTCAATTCGGACATGATTGGAACAATATCGGTCTTCGTTTGACCGAGTCTGGTAGCGTGAAGATTTCCGATGTGAGCGTGCCTTGGACGGATGCGCTCGGCTGGAACGCAGAGACAAAAGAACCGGACCCACGCGCGCTGCAGATACCCTTTGCGACGCTGCTACTCCCAACTATCCAGCTTGTCTTCAGCAACTTTTACCTCGGTATCGCGTTAGGCGCACAACAGTATGCAGCAAGTTATACGGTGAAGGGGACCCGGGCATGGCCATTTGGCGGTGATGTAAATAGACAAGTATCCCACAAGCTCTGAAGAATGTCGCTAATACAGGTTTAGAACAAAGAGAGGGCGACAGATGAGTTTTATATCCTCGAACGGTATGGAAACTTCCACGCTCACCTTCGTGCCGCGTCGGCCCTAGCAGACCGGGTGGGCCAAGAAGTTGACGCGATCTTGGGCAAGTATGCAGGTGACCTGGACACCCGTGGGAAGCTCACGGCACGGGATCGAGGCGAGCTAGCAGAGTGGGTGGCAAGTGTCAAAGTCGTCGCAACGGATACTAGCCTACGGGTCACATCTGGAGTATTCGAAGTCACAGGTGCGAAGGCGACAAGCCAGAAAGTAGGCTTAGATCGGTTCTGGAGGGACGTCAGGACGCACACGCTGCATGATCCAGTCGCGTACAAGAATCGGGAGCTAGGGAGGTTTGAATTGCTGGACGAAATCCCTGAGGCTACATGGTATACGTAGTTGCGCTCTTTGAATCTCCCAAAACTTGCAAAGATAGAGCGTATCCAAGCTCATACAAGATTAGGAAATGTTTGAGCCGCAGAGATACTCAACGCCTTGGCTGCCCCTTGCTTCACTACCCCAAACGTAGCCTCGTTGGTCCAGAATTCATAGTCTGCAGCACCTTTGCCCGGCTTGTTGATCTGCCAAACCATCCATGGTACCTTGAGCCCATTGAAGATGTCGATATGCTGACCTACAACACTAGACTTGTCGGAACCAGTAGCGCCAAATTCTTCGAATAGCACGAGTTTCTTGGCGGCTTGAGCGTGCTGTAGCGCGATGGGCGCTTTGTTGCGCCATTCGGAAACGCCGCTGTAGGAGTGGATATCGATGAGATCAAGTGTTGCGCAGCTCCAATTCTCGGGGATATCGGAGTTGGGAAATTCATTCCCGCCGCCTGAATATAGAGTGGTCAATACCATAATCTCTAGGGTCTGGAGTCTCAGATGGAAGCGGGTAGATTACGTACCTGTTGAGATGAGAATCCTGCTATCTCCCATGATGCTTCGCATCTTTTTGCTTCGATCACACCACCATTTTGGTGCAGGTGCGATGTTGTTGCGCAGATGTCCTTGCCCTTCGTTCTGTATGTTGAACGCGAAGATGTAATCCGAAAGATCTTTCCATTGCGGTGCACCCGAGATCAACTGATTCTTGTGCTGGAGAATGTATGTGAGGCGGTTGTCAAAGTCGTAGATTGGCGATGCATCCTGGTAAAAGAACGTTACATCGTTCTGAGCCGCAGGAGTTTTCGCGCAGTCGATAGCAGGAAGTTTGTATTTGGAAACATATGTGTCTGCGTCGAAGATGCGTCAGTGGCCGTAGAAGCTTTGGTCCAATATGAAGAAGACCATACCATTTCCCCAACAACCTAATTGGTAGCGGTCATGCATAGCGATGACTAGTTTGATGCCTCGTTCACGCGCTTCAAGCATGAGCTGATCAATAGCACGTAGCTGGGTGTCATCGTATGTGCCGACCTGTTGTGGCTCGATGTCGGGCATATTGACGGAGCCGGTATCTTTGTTGTTCTGTAGTGTGTGAGAGATGAAGATACGCAACGTCTTGAGTTTGGCATCTTTGACTGCGTCAAGGACAGCCAAGCGATCGGTTCTGTGAACAGTCAGTCGAAGCCGACGAAATTCTGAAGGATCCGTACTTTTGATAGGCATGAAGGAAGTAGGAGTTGACCCCAGCCCAGCTCGAGGATATGTCTCTTTCTTCGAGTGGTTGTGCCGCCGAGATAGATGCGCTCATGGCGAGCGGAAGCAAATATTTGAGAAGCTGCATGATAAACGTGTTCGAGATGAGGCTGCTCTGATGACCGTCAATGTGCGAGGGCTTCACTCCTACTTATGCTTCCCAGCCTTATGTCTTTGACCTAGTGTCTGTAACATCGGGCTTGCGACCTTCCCTCTCGAACATTGCGCATGCGTCTGTAACCTTCTGTTTGCGACCTGCCATCTCCGATTTTGTAATGTTCGGACGCTCCGATTCTGCTTTCTCCACACTATGTCGAACGTCAATGTTGTAGTGAGGATACACTTCAAGACTAAGTCCAAAGAAGGATGTTGCAAACACGGAGCGGCAGGGACCGTATGCATCAGAGTTAGTACATCACAGCAGCGACATCTAGTCCGCACTGATCCGCTAGCCTTTAATTACCGGAGCCTGGTCGCCCGCGCCCTGTTTGGACTAGAGTGTATATAAGGCTCACTCGTGTTCTAAAACAATCCCTAGCAATCTTTATAGTGACATTCCTAGTTCGAACTTGCGCAAACTGTGGGTGGACATTGGACCGGAGTTGTATGATCGACATTGGAGGGGTAACTAACGGCTCTCTGACAACCGCGGTTATTCGGCTGTTGGATCTAGATTTAGCACCGAAGGCTTACCGCCCTCCCGCGCAGATCGGAGTAGCTTGCAGCATTGCATCTGGATACTCTTGTGCCCCGGAAGCCACGGAGGGTTTGAACAACAACACGTTTTGCCATGCGCCTGTTCCCATAATAGACTCTGGTCCTTGTATGATCCATTCCCTAGGTGGCTGCAGCTGCGCATGAACGCCAAAAGGCGCCATGACTTTCAGCGTGCCATGACCCTCCGCTTCATCAATCTTGATCTCTACGCCGATACTACCAGCGACGGTCGCAAGGGTGCAATTGATCCTCTCTAGACCGGCAAAGACTGGTGCGATGCGAAACGACGTCCAGCCTGGCTCGGCAGGCTGAAGCCCTGCTAAATATCGAGGCAGAAGTGATACTGGCCACGTCGACCAGCCATGCATCAACGACGTGTCGTGACCGTGCGGCGTTCCGTCTGTCTTCATGGCTTCCCAATGTCCTCCATAGTAGTTTGGATTTGATGTGTCAGCCATCGATCCCCAGACGCGCTCGATGAGCCTCTGCGCTTCAAGACCATGGTTTCGTGAAAACAATGCCTCAACTGCGAACCCTGTTGCATACAGACTGATAATGTCCGCTACACTCCAATGAGCAAGGCCCCGGAAGGCACGAGGGAGCTGCGATTGTGGGTCAATCAAATGCTCAAGATCGTTCGCATGACTAGGAAGCAGCCCTATAGTCACGGCATGGGCCTTGTTATCTTGACAGATACCGTCGCTTGGTAGATTTTCAATCAGGCGATAGACACCGGTGGAAGCATCGTAGAAACGTTTCAGTACCTCCACCTTAAGCTTCTTGGCTTGCGATAGATATTTTTGTTTGGCTTCTGGGTCATCGGACATCACCGACATGGCATGCAGGGCCTCGTCATATGCGTTATTCAGTGGGCACGAGGGACCGAAAATTGGGCCGCCAAGTGGGAACCAATGCACTGCAGGCGGTCAGCTTGTTGGTTCGAGAAATCTTATCCAGACTCACTTGACGGAGGCGGAAGAGCTACTACTACCCCTACGCTGAGGTGCTCCGCTGTGTAAGCCATGAGATGTTCTAGACGCTGGAAACATTGCGTTTTCGTCCTTGCGTCACCCGTATGTAGCCAGTAATCCTTGATTGCAACAACAAGTAGCAACGCGAAGGACAGGGAACAGAAGGCATATGTTGGAGGCTCCTTGTTCCATTCATGGACGGGCGCTTGGATGAGACAGAGGTTGCCGAGATATGCCTCGTTAGTTTGATGGCTGGTCAGGAGCTCAATACTGCCTGCTATCGCGTCGAACGTCATAGTAGAGTGAGCAATTGATCGATCCATGACATAAAGGTCTCCACCGAAACAAGCGCGGTCTCTTTTTGCACCATCGATCGTACGAGCGAGCCCATTCGTTCCAACCTGGAAGCCATCCAATGTTCGGCTTTGGTCATGAGGCAACATGGTATCCTGGTATAGATCCTCACCCTCATCCCTGAGCACATTGAGGTGGCGATACACAGCTACCCACTGACACGGTCCGCCAAAGGCGATAGATCTCGTGTTGTTCGCGCTTCCGCTAATGATGGATTTGATGTTCAGACCCTCCATGACTGCAAGTCGTCGGCCTTGTACCGAGACAACCACGGTATCGCCGCGCGTGACCCTTTCGACTTCGAGCCGGGCGTTCAGGTCCAGATCGCCAATGTGCCAGCGACCTTTCTCAGCAACAGGAAGGACGGTCGGTTCCGTGGACAGACCTTCGCATGCATATAATTCCCTTGTGGCCGTGTCCAAACAGAAAATCAACCCATCTGCCACCATGTGAACGGCCCAGCTTGCGCCTCCATGTTCGATATAAATCTGGAAACGCATGGTTTTATTCGCCAATCTTGTGCTGAATCGGCACGATGCCCAATGCTGGCCGCGGATCCTGGTTCCCCCAGCAGTAACCTCCCATGGGGCAGATGTCTCGCCCTTGGAGACTGTGCACATATCGACAGTCCTGACACCATCTTGCCACATCCGATTCAACAGTGGGCTAGAGCACGAGAGAGTCGAACTTGCTGAGTATCTCTGCCGGATGCGCTCGAAACCGATACCCGAGAAAACGACGGTCGAGTGTGGGGTCGCCAGCCGTATCTTTTGGTATCTTTGCGATCGTTGAGTGTACACAGCTCTCACAACCTGCTCATTTGCTGACTCAGGAACCTTGAAGACTAAGCTTTTCGCGTAGCACGCTTCTTATCCGCGGGGTAGTACGCGGTGTAGTCTTAATACGGCCCGTCTCGCGCCGAACCAAGAAATTCTCGGCGATCCCGAACCCGTAGCATTGGCAGAACGACCGCAACGTAAGCTCTAGTAACCACGACCACCGTTTCAAGAATATATCACGATGTAGCTAGACTGAGGAGTCGGAAAATTACTCGTGTGCAATATCCACTCCTCCACCCTCCCTCCACTCTTCTCTTCCCCACCCCTCTATTCATCGCATTCCATACTCCACCCCTCCATGTCGTTAGTCTCGTTCGCAACTTCAAAACGTTCCTCGTGCGATCGGTGTCGCAAGCAGAAACTACGATGTCCGACGAAAGAAGATGCCACTCAATCCTGCGCTCGGTGCCTCCGGGCTGGCGCGCCTTGTGTGATGAGTTACACACGACCGCGAGGCCGGTCGCAGAAAGATGCCATTGCGCAAGATAATGAGGACACGCGGAACGCTACAGACTCGGCACTTCCTATGCCAAACAGTCTCATGTCAAGCGCATCGGAAAATATGGCTGAAGATGCGAATGCGCAAAGCTGGTCACTGCTCAACGAATACGAGTTCTTTCCTTCACTGCCTTCTAGCTACGAGGCCGAGCAGACTCAGACTCACGACGAGAGCGCAGCGAGCCTCCAATACTCATCGCTGTATCGCGAGCTCGGGATTGACATCCACATTGAGACGCCGCATCTCTTGCACGACGCATTCCCCAAGGCAGGCGCAGAATTTCCATCACCAGAAACCGCAGCGTCCGATGTCTACGCGGCCAGTAGTCCGACGCCGGATTTGGGACGCCAACTGGACTGCGAAATGCGACTTGCGCAGCTCAATCTGGATCTTTGCCGACAGCTGAAAGCGCAGATTCTCTGTCCGACGCGGTGTGCGGAGGATGGTACGGAGAATCGCACGTCGAACACGTCGTACGCATTAAGGGACGTCCTTCGAAGCACGGAAAGCTACATACATGTTCTTCAGAGCCTAGTTGCATCCAGCGATGACGGAGAGAGCCTAGGACCGCTTCGTCCATCCCGGACAACATCATCTCCTCTTACATTTCCCTGCATGTTGAACCTCACGTCGTGCTTCTTCCACATCGTGGATCTTTTCAGCGCGTTCCTGGAGAACCTCACCAGAGAGATTGACACGCACAATCTCGGCTCCCCATCAGGAAAGTTCCATATCCTGCCAGAGCTGAAGCTCGCAGGTCTGCCGATTCACGAAGCCAGTCTTCAGATCAAGATCCTTGTCCTCGCAATCTCGCATCACTTCGAGACCATGGAGCGGCTTTTGAGCTTACCGGCCGAGCTACGCGTGTCGCCCCAACCGGACATCGGCACCCGCGGGCTGTTGCCTTCGCATTGGGTAACGACGATGCTAAGTGCGAAAGAAGGACTGTTTGGGATGAACAGTTGTGGGTTGTCTAATTACGTGCAGTCTATACAAACGTCTAGAAGAAATATCTCTAGGCTGCAGAAAACATTTTAATATACAACCTTAACGACCTTGTTCAATATTGCCTATTTTAGTGCCGGACATCAGGTGTACATGTACGATAACTAGGCTGAGACTAGTAGATAGCTTAAGGTCAAGTTAGAGTTAAGTTTAATATATTACACAAGGTTTCGGCTCTACTTCTCTAAGCTTAGTCTGTACTAAAGCAAAGTAGACTAAAGCGTAGTCTGTACAGTAATGTATAGATATTTAGGAGGAAAAGAGTTATCAATATTAACTAGTAGGGAAACAATATTAATTCGATAGATAATAGAATAACTAGTTAAAAGTCTATGTAAGACATAAACTATATAAGTTAACTACAATAAGTGTACTAATAAAATCTATATATCCTATATACCTATTGCTATCTATTCCTGCTATTAGGTATATCTTTTGTTACTTAGGGTTTGTATAAAGGCGTAGCTGTAGGCTATAGTGCTTGCTTTACGCTACAAAGGATAGTAAGCGATAGCTAATAGATTAATACTACGGACGTAGGTAGTTAGGAAAATAGTTCTTATATCTTGTTTCTTGAGCGAGGCGCACATTATAAGCAGGCTTTGCGCGTCTCCTTCGTTCAGGAAAAGCAAGCGTCTATCGTCTATCTCTCCAGCACAAGGTACTTTCATCTGTCCTTGTTACGTTATCGCGTTCACATCCGCATCGCTAAGCTCGACATAGACGGCCCTCTGCATCAGTGCTCCAATCTTCAGACCCAGGCGAAGCATACGCATAGAATACCGATTTTGGATCCCATGCCCGCTTCAGCTCTTTCAATCGCTCATAGTTTGTACCAAAAAAGGCAGTTTGCCACTTCTCGGTATCGCCCGGTGGATACACAAGCGGGTCTGCTTCATTGAGATAAGCGCCCGAGCCGACGGTTGCTGCCTCGATCGCTGGATGGATGACAGCGGCGAGATCCTGGCGGCGCGCCACCATGGTGGCTTCAGGGATAGTCCAGTCGTAGATGGAGAATTCTAGGCAAATGGCCATGGCATCGCGCCAGTAGGGCACAACGGCATTTTTCGGATGTGCGACATGCGTTGTATTGACGTTCACGCCTAGGCAGCCGATCTGCCAGCTTGCGCTTGGGTCAAATGCGACACTCGATAGCATTGCCGAAGTGAGATTTTCGGGGCTTTCGGACAGATCCCGAGGAATGAGCCGACTGTTGAAGAGCTGCGAGACCACGTATGGGCCATAAGGAAGAGGACCATCGGTTGCATTGTAGTGCTGGAGGTACGACGGGGCAGCATACGTGGCGAAGTTGTAGGGGATCCGCAGTGCATCAAGTCGCTTTAGGTACGGGGTATACAAGTTGGCCATTTCCGCCGCTGATCTACCTGGCGCTGTGGTGTTATGAACCAAGAAGTTGCCAGCAAATAGATTGAAGGATGGAGATGCGCCGGCATCGACGAGGCTGGGGAGGAACCTCCACCAAGCATCTATTGCGGAGACATAAGAACCGTTGCTTGGGCTGGCGGTAGCGTTGAAGCTTAGTGTCGCGGCGCCGATGAGGCTGTCGACGTGTACCTTGGCCGTCATGCTCAGAACCACGGCAAGGTTACCTCCTCCACCACCAGAAAGCGCCCAATAGAGATCCTCGTTCTCGACAGGGCTTGCAGTAAGATGTCTCATATCTGCAGTGACGACTTCCCACTCCAAGACGTTGTCAGCCGCTAGGCCATGCACACTATTCAGCAGACTGTGACCGCCTCCGGACGAGTACCCTCCCGCGTAACCTACCGTCGGGCAATCTCCGGAAACTAGGCGGTATCCAAATTGAGATGCATAGAGAAGAGCTTCACCACCAGTGACACCAGCCCCAACCTTGATAGCAGGGCCAGTATACTCATTGCTGGTATAGTTCAGAATCTCTTTGGATTTCAGATTATGGGTCCAGAGCGACAAACCACCCGTTCCGGTAGACTTTCCAAGGTAATCGTGACCAGTGTTTTTGATGACCAAACGCACATTGTGGGCTTGCGTAAAGTTGATGGCAGCAACAATGTCGGTGGGGCCATGAACAGGAATGGCGTAGCTGACGTAATTACCTAGCGTACAAGGCTGATCGATGAGATAGAATGGACTGCAGGATGTGTTCTGATACCAGGGATTCATTATCTCTGCCGCGTTGTCCAAGCTGTGAGGTACGTTAGCACGCTCTGGCATCAGGGTTGAGCGGATAAAGGTCGGGTGACGTACAATGTCTTGGGATAGTCCCAACTCTCTTTGAGCGCTGCACATTCAGCCTCGTTTTCTGATATGTCGCCATAACCTCCCGGCCGACATACTGCCGCTTGAGGAACAACTTGCACCAAACGCCCATCGATGGTGTCGTTTAGCTGGCTCCACACCTGCCGGGATGGCCAATCATTGTCACCGGGAATGGCTTTGCAACTAGAGTTCACCTCCTGTCCTCGTCGGCCTAAGGGTGCGGCTGCATAAACCCAAGGTGCTAGTAGAAGCACTATGGTAGCGGAAGGAAACATTGGGAACAATGAGGGACGGTAACAACGAGAGACGATCCAGAACCTTGTCTTCAATGCAGGACATTGAAATCTCTCCCTGCTGAACTTTAAGTACAACCAGGCCGTTCGCTTGAGCACCCCTTTCCGCTGGTATCTTCTCGCGGCCGTGCAAATTCCATTCTTACCACGTCTGCTATTGGTTGATCAACTGAGGAAGGCTGAGTTGCGACAGTGGCTGTGAACGTTTTCGGTAATGAGAATATTCGGAGTCGGCTTGAGTTGCCTATTGAGACATGGTCAAAGTTATGCCGAATACTGATGCAGAATGCTGACGCAGATCCATTTCCATGTTGTCGTCAGCAGTCTGGCCAAAGAATGTCGCGCGTCGCTGCATTGACGGTGTGAACAATGGAATTGTCAAGAGGTGAGAGTCGGGTAAGCATATGCGAGAACTCGTCCCTACCCTTGTTCCTGGTAATGGCACAGCAGTGCGAGGCATATTGGCGGATTACGCCGAGCTGAACTAGAACGGAGCTACTTCGCAAACAATACGGAGCCGACAGGGATTTTGTCGAGGAATTCGGCGTCAACTTCTGAATTCGAAAAAGAATGAATTCTACCAAGAGTAGTGTACTCACATCCTCTCAATTGTCAATGGAATTATTACCAAGATAAAAACATACCTAGCATTAATCTGTTGTCTACATCCAATTATTCGGCAATCGTCTCTTGTACCACCTTCGCGACTGACACCATGCCGCCAGCGAAAGTACCAAGCCATGCTAAGAGACCTGAAGTGGGCTCGCAGCCATTGTCGAGCATGTGGACGCAAATGTTCCCACCAAAGCCGACGTATACGGAGGACCATGTGCCCGATCTTAGTGCAAAGGTATGCGGAAAGAATTGCTGACTCGAGCACCGCTTGAATAGGAGAGAGACGAGTGATAACACCGACCACAGGTATATATCGTCACCGGCGCCAGTTCAGGCGTAGGGAAAGAGACTGCGAGAATACTGTATACGAAAAATGCCAAGGTGTACATGGCAGTGCGGGCTGGGACGAAGGCATCCACAGCCATGGCAGATATTCGGGCAGCGGCGCCCAAGTCTTCGGGAACTCTTGCTATTCTACCGCTGGATCTGGCAGACCTGAATGCGGTGAAGAAGGCAGCAGAAGAATTTGTCTCGCAGGAAAGCAGCCTCCACGGGCTCATCAACAATGCGGGTGTGCAGGCCCTCGAGGACACTAATGGCGAAGCCCGCACAGCGCAGGGTCACGAAGTGCACATGGGAGTCAATGTGCTGGCGCCGTTCCTATTTACCTGCTTACTCAGAGGGGTGCTAGCAGAGACAGCGCGCTGGGAACGGCCTGGTACCGTGCGCATCTTGTGGGTGTCTTCAATGGGCACCGAGACGATCGGAGAAAAGGGACGTGGGCTTTCCGCTGACTACGTTGACTACTGGCCACTCATGTCGCCGCTCGAACGGTATGGGTTGAGCAAGGCTGGTAATTGGCTGCACGGAGTCGAATGTGCCAAGCGGTACGCAGACGACGGCGTTTTGAGTTTTCCCATCAACCCGGGACACTTGAGGTCAGATCTCTATCGGGAAGGCGGAACACTACTCAAATTGGCATTGCGGCCTGTGCTGTTCCCGCCTACGTATGGAGCTTACGTCGAGCTGTTCGCCGCCTTATCGCCTTCGTTAACCACAAAAGATTCTGGAGCTTGGAGTAAGTACCTGCGAGATCTTGGCACATTACAAATTGCTGACATTCTGTGTTTTTTAACCCAGTTGTTCCATGGGGTAGGCTGTATCCTATCCGTAGCGATTTGATTGATGCGACCAAAAGTGAAGCTGAGGGAGGCAATGGTCATGCAAAGGCGTTTTGGGATTGGAGCGAGGAGCAGGTCAAGGAGTTCTTTTAGACGTGATTTTACAACTATACCATACTGTTCAATGTATTCAAAATGTTTCAGTTGAGTGGAGTAAAACACAGGTCCAAGTTCCCAATGTGCCACGACATGCAGTCATGAACACGATCGAGGAAGGAGGCATAGTCAAAATCGGGTGCAAAGGAGACACTGTAGCGTGACAGAGTTTCAGCGAGAACAAGGCGCATCTCCATGGAAGCGAGCGGTCGACCTAGACAGCTGTGGTGGCCCACAGAAAAAGGTGCATAGCCCGACGCGTCTTTTACAAGGCCAGGCTCAGAGTGCCAGCGTTCGGGCCGAAAGTCGGCGGCGTCTGTGTAGAGGGCTTCAGAGCGGCCGATGGCATATTGCGATGAGAAGACTGTCATGTCGCCCGGAATGAAGGTGTCAGCTACGGTGATGCCTTCTGGTGGAGTAGTGCGCATGATGGTCGAGGCAGGAGGGTGCAGGCGCAGCGTTTCGCTAATGATGGCGTTCAGATGAGGGGCATTGTCACGGAGTCGGTGGTCGGGGTACGGGCCGCTGGCGGGCCGAAGCGGTTGCAGCTCTTTTCGCACAAGGAGCACGTGTTGGGGGTGCTTGGCGAGGTAGAACATGGCGAATGCTAGAGTCGCAGCCACGGTGTCGCTGCCAGCGATGACTATGAAACGACAGTCATTGCGAAGCGCCGATAGGTCGCGATGGGCGGGTGGCTGCTGCTCGTAGTGGGCGATCATGGGAGCCATAAGGCTTGGCCGCTCGGCGCGCTCGAGGTCGGTCATCAGCATGAGGCGGTCGAGATGATGGTAGCAAAAGGCTAGGAATCCCGTCGTTGCTTCCGTGGGCACGAGAGACTGGGCAATGTCGACAAGCAGGCGCATCAACCACATGGGCAGTCGACGACCCATGATGGCCATGCCCTGGACGAGCTGTTCGACAGCAGCATGCGTCGTGGCACTGTGTAGCATGCCAAAGTCGCTTCCAAGGCCCAGATCGCCCATGGTATCGAATGCAAATGCCTCTGTCAGTCGGGCTGCGTCGATGGCCTTGCCATGGGCTTGTGAAATACGCGCAAGCAGTTGCTGCACATAGACGGCCACGCGGGGCTCGTAGGACCGAAGCGCCTTATCCCCAAACCCTTTACTCCAGAGCCGGCGACGGGCAGCATGAAGGCTAACATCGCGAGTAGCGATGCCGCGATTGGGCTGCTCAAAGTCGTACATAGCAGCCTTTCGACAGCGGGTGCCAGGCCCGTGGATGGCTGCAACAGCCTGCGGGTGGGTGAGCATCAGCGTCGATGAGCCGACGCGAACGACGTCGCCATATACCGTGCTCAGCTGTTCGCTGAGCCGGTGCATATCATGGCCGCCTAACTGCAATGATAGCCATAGGTCGCTGACGCGCGCTGCAAAGGGGCCGGGGAAGCGATTGAGTGGGTGGAGGAGCAGGCGGTATGTCAGTAAACTCGCATAGACGCCGACAAGGAAGCATGCCAAGATGGCCAGTGCCCAGCCCAGACATGCTTGCCACTCTCCCAGACTGGGCGCCGTGTGCGCCTCCGATGTCTCCACCCCCATCCTCCTCATCATCGCATACCGTACTATCGCGCCATATCGCTTCAGCACCGCTGCAGTGCTCACGACTGCAGCACTGCCTGTCAGCCATCGCGCCCCGCTGCCATGATGTTCTCCTCTGCTAAAGTAGCTGACGTGTGCAGTCACGCCTGCCGCCGCCGCCGTTGCCCCGTGTGCCAGCTGTAACTGCATCGTCAAGAAAGATGGGTACAATGAGTGAACAAACAACGTACAAGTGAAGTCCGCAGGAAATTACCACTTCTGCTACTCTACTTATGCCCCCATCACGTCTGCGCCCCAAAGCTCTTCGGACATTCGCCTTCGGTTTCCTAAACAGGCAGACGATGACCCCAAAGGAGACATAGATACCTTATAGCTTACATGCTCCAATCTTCCCGACGTAATGCACACTACACCTTCCTCTTCGCCCATGATGCTCCCCACAAACGGCCAGACTGCTGTCATTCAATCCAAAACACCTCCCACTTCACCTCGTCTTCCACTCGTCGTCGCTCATGGCCGCCCTTTGCCGCCTTTGCCCTCACCTCACCACGTGCGTGTACGCGTCCTGGCAGTCGGCCTTAATCCTACCGACCACAAGATGGTGACACATTTCTTCATGCAGAACAATACCACCGGGTGTGACTTTTGTGGTATTATCGTGGAAGCCGGATCGGAGTCGATGCTCGGTCCTGGTCTCCGAGTGTGCGGCGCTGACTTTCCCTATCGACCTAGCAACCCCTACAACGGTGCATTTGCAGAGTACTCCATAGCCGACGCACGCCATCTGTTGCGCATCCCAGATTCTGTCTCTGACCTCCAGGCCGCTGCCATAGGCGCTATTGGCTGGGGCACCGCTGCTTTATCCATGTCTGACCCTACCGCTTTAAACCTGCCGGGGTTGCCCTCGAAACCAGATGCAAGGAATCTCCCCATCCTGGTTTATGGAGGTGCCACCGCAACGGGCATCATGGCGATTCAAATGTTGAAGCGGTGAGTAGCATGTCTCTTTGATCATCGTGTTACGTACGCTCCATTGCACGGGGTCGCATCAGAAAAGCAAGGGAGTATGCTGACATTTCCGCCTAAATAGATCTGGCTACGCCCCAATCGCAGTTTGCTCGCCTCAATCTGCAGCCTTCTGCATTAGTCTCGGCGCCGTTGGCACGGCGTCGTACACCTCACCTACATGCGTCCAAGACATCAAGGCACTTGCAAATGGGCAGAAGATCAAACATGCCCTTGATTGTATAACTGATCCCGAGTCTACAGCGGTATGCCTGGCGTCCCTCTCACGTATTGGGGCCCGCTATGCCTGCCTTGAAGCCGTGCCCGATGCCTGGCTTACTCGCCGATCAGTTGCGGTCAAGGTCGTGATGGGCTTTGAGGGCCAGAACTTCGACGTGGACCTTGACCATCCTGTCTACTCGCGCAAGGCAAACCCAGTCTTACATGCTGTCGCTGCTGAGTGGGCCGCTGAGTTGCAACCGTTGCTAGATACCGGACACATCAAGACGCAGTATATCCAAGAGATTGAAGGCCGTTTCGAAGGCGTCATCAAGGCATTGGAAATGCTACAAGACGGACATATCAAAGGCAAAAAGCTAGTCGTGACAATTTCTTCCTAGAAACGTTGAATCAAGTGACGCATATCAAAGGCTGGCACACTGATCTCACGAGGCCTGCATGTTGTGGTTGGTCTTATTTCTATCGATGCATGTGTTTTTTCCACGCCAAGAATCTTGTCGAGTACTGGAAAAAGTGAAGGGAATCGCCGAAGAAAGTCGCTGTCGGAGAAGAGGCGAGCTATCAATGAGCAAAGCAGAATGCTGTCGATTGATCACAGACTTTTGTCTTGTTCTGGGCAACTATAACGGTGACTAGCGCAAGGATGAGATGGAGCAACCCCATTCACTTGGGAGATTGACAGCTTGTGGGTTTAGAAGGATGAAACACCAGTCTACCCGCCTTTCACGACCATGCGTGCTCACCCTATACGCTCTCTTTGGCCACTGGTGTCAAGCGCACAAACAGCCCCGGTTTGTCCCATACCAAGTACGCCTTCTGATTGTCCATCCAACCTTTACTCTGCTCCGTGCCTTGAATGTCAAAGTTCCACAAGAATCGAGCGAGGATGTAACGCATCTCCGCGTACGCCAAGCTGAACGAACATTAGCACAGCTGTGTCTCGCTTTCAGGACAAGATGAAATACGGAAACTCACTTCATGGCGATGCAAGCACGCGGGCCGTAAGAGAACGGGTGGAACCCCTCGCGGCGGTCCTGATCAAACTCGGCCGGACGCTCGCCATCTGGTAACCAGCGCTCGGGATGGAATTCATCAGCATGCTTCCAATATGCTTCACTGCGGTACAAGACACGGTGTGGAATGCCGAGGATGGTCTGCATGGGTCACATGGACCAGAGGTCAGAAACATTTTCTGAAAGCATCCAATAAACTGGGTCAAAGAACTTACGTTTCCAGGGATGTATTCGCCAAGGATGGTGTTGCCGCCAGCGGGAGTCGTGCGCCACATCGTATTTGGGCCCGGAGGATAGTACCTCATCGCTTCTTCGATGAAGGCGCCCGTGTACGTCAGTTGCGCGACGCTCCGCATGTTGATGTCTTCCTCAGTCGGGAAAGTCGCATGCAGTTCGTCGACGATACGTTGTTTGACGTCAGGCCTGGTCGTCAAGATGAACGCCATACCCGTGAGGCTGCTGGAAGTGGTCTCTGCGCCGCCACCGGTAAGAAGTATGGCGTTCTTGAAAATCTCCTCGTTGGTCATGTAAAGGGTGTTGCTCTGCTTCGACGTCATGATCTCCATGAAGTCATGGCGCGGTGTTGTTAGTGACAATCTGCGCTCAACAACTTGGCGTAGGAGAACGACGTGTCGGTTAAAATCGCGATACAACTGAAGAGTCGTCTTGACAGGCAGAAAGAGGTAGAAGAAGGGGATGCGCTTGCACAGCAAAATTATGTGCGTGACGTAAATATTCGCAAAGACGAGCTGGAGCCATGGGTGCAACATGGCGTTTTCCAAACAACCAAAGGGTTCACCAAACGATAAGTCGCCGATCAGGTCGAAGGTGCAGTAGGTGAACCACTCGAGCATGTTGACCGTCGCTTTTCCTTGTTCGCAGATGTTGTGCAGCTTAGAAAGGAACAAGTCGACATGAGTTTTGATCAGAGGCTCTTGCTTGCACATGGCGCTGTAGGTGAAGCCCGGTGCCATGACGCGGCGCATGCGGCCATGATCACCCAAACTGGCGCCGACCATATCGTGGGCGTCTGGGCTGCAGTACCACGTTGGTTTTGGATTCTCTTTGCGCTTGGCCGGCACGTAACGACCATATATGTCCTCCCATGCCTCTGGGGTAGCATACGATAATTCCTTCGGTCCAATACGAACGACAGGGCCGTACGTGGCGTGCAGCTGGCGGATCTTGGTATGCCATTTGCCTGTCATATACCAGAATCCATAAGGAATCGAGGATGCAGCAAAGAGTTTGGGCCCCGGGTACTTCTTGAGTGGATGGAAAAATATGTTCCGTATAGGGCGGAAAATGAAGATGTAGCCCATAAGCTTGCATGGATGGTCAGATGAGTATTTGGTGGACGCTTTTGCTACTACGTACAAGTGCGGTTGTGATGAATATCGTGGACCGCCAATCTGAGCCAGCCACTGCCGTTGCAAACTTCTGAAGGTCGAGCATGATGCTGACCTTGAAAGACTCACCACGCGAATGGAAAGAGGTGGTATCAAAAGCGAGAAGTTAATGGTTTCGGAGATGCAACGATAGTAACAATATCTACAGCTAATTCTGCATTAGTAATGAGCCAAGGTCGCAGCCATCTGCAGCTGATTGCCTTCCAAATGCGGTCGGACCTCGGAGCCGAACGTAGGCAGATACGTCTTGTTGAGCAACGAGTCGGTTTCGATATTGACCAATCCTCTTTTGCCGGCACTGCCGGAGTCGGCATGAATTGCTGAAATAAGGAACTGCTGCCGCACATGGATCTTGCCGAACCAAAAGACTAACACGCAGCTGGACGGACCGGTTCGTATGGCTCGCAGCTCTTGGCCTTCTGCCTGTAGTTATGTCACGATTGAGGCTCTTGGGGAACAAGGGTAGAACCGCAAACCTCCACAACGCCGAGTAGGAGTACGACACCATCGGGCTTACTACTGTGTCTACACAGAATCGGTAAAGGTAGAGATTGTCAAACCATGGACTGATCAGGTGAATTACTCTAACTTGACACAAGTACAAATCCGGTACCAGAGTCCAATTCAACACCCCTTCATCGATGTCCTAAGCGCTGAAACTCTCTCAACACAACCACTTTTTCAACAACTTCAACTTTGCTATCCTCTTCCATCACACCCTTCGGCATCAGTTCCTCTGCTGTTCAAGACATCACTCATGTCACCAAATGCCCCCATCAACGAGCCAATAGCTATCATTGGTAGCGGCTGTCGATTTGCAGGTGGAGCAAGCTCCCCTTCTAAGCTATGGGATCTCCTCCGCGACCCTAGAGACATACGCAGCAACATCACCGATAAGAGGTTCAACGCCGAGGGCTTCTATCACCCCGATGGCACACACCATGGACACATGAACGTTATGCAGTCATATCTCCTCGACGAAGATACGCGCGTTTTTGACGCCGAATTCTTCGGCATCAATCCCGTCGAGGCCAAAGCCATGGATCCACAGCAGAGACTGCTCCTTGAAGTTGTCTACGAGTCGATTGAATCAGCTGGTCTGAGTCTCGACCGAATGCGAGGAAGTGACACTGCTGTCTTCGCCGGTCTCATGTGCGGCGACTATGAGGCCATGATGCTTCGAGATCTGGACCAGGCGCCTACGCATTTCGCCACAGGAACCTCGCGTGCAGTCATGTCAAATCGCGTGTCCTACTTCTTTGATTGGCGCGGCCCGTCGGTGACGATTGACACAGCGTGCTCGTCAAGTCTGGTCGCTGTTCATCAAGCTATCCAGACACTTCGGTCAGGGGACAGTCACACAGCGGTTGCATGTGGTTCCAATCTTATCTTTGGTCCGGAGATGTATGTCACTGAAAGCAAGCTGAAGATGCTTTCACCCGATAGTCTCAGTCGGATGTGGGACAAGGACGCTAATGGTTATGCCCGAGGTGAAGGCGTAACTGCCGTGGTTCTCAAAACGCTCAGCCAAGCCCTTGCAGACAACGATAGAATCGAAGCTGTCGTCAGAGAGACGGGTGTAAACTCGGATGGAGCAACACCTGGAATCACAATGCCAAGTGCCAGCGCGCAGCGGGACTTAATCCATAGCGTTTACAAGAAGGCTGGTCTCGACCCTCAGTGTGCGGAAGATCGACCTCAGTTCATTGAAGCGCACGGCACCGGAACACCGGCTGGAGGTAAGTTCTCTCCATCATCCAGCGTTCATGGGTAGTGCGGTTGCTGACCCAACTGTGTTCTCAGACCCCATCGAAGCTGAAGCGCTCAGCACCGCATTCTTCAGCAACACGGAGAAGTTGAGCAGTCCGATCTACACTGGCTCTATAAAGACTGTACTTGGTCATACAGAAGGTTCAGCTGGTATCGCAGCACTGTTGAAGGTCACACAAGCCATGCAGAACTCAACTATACCGCCCAACCTGTGGTTCCAACAACTCAACCCCAAATTGGAGCCATTCTACGGCAACCTCCAGATCCCTACTAAAGGTATTGCGTGGCCGGATCATCCTGGGCGACACCCTAAGCGTGCTAGTATCAACAACTTCGGTTTTGGAGGTACTAACGCACATGCCATCGTGGAGAGCTATGAGCTAGAGCAACAAAAGACGGTCGATGAGACAAGTGCTGCCACAGTATCAACGCCATTTGTCTTTTCAGCTGCCTCGGCGGAGTCTCTCCACTCTAATCTTGCCGCGTACGCGAGCTATTTGAACGCCAACCCCAAGACTAGCGCACGCGATCTTGCGTATACATTACGCGAGCGCAGATCTGTGCTTCCTTTCCGCATCGCCTTCCCAGACACGACTGTAGAGGGTCTGAAGTTCAGCATCACAACCCGGCTAGCCGAGTCTGGCAATGAGAGTCTGGGTGTACGCACATGGGCGGCGGGTAATGGTGGACACTCAAGGCTCCTGGGAATCTTCACCGGACAAGGAGCGCAATATGCTAGAATGGGTGTAGAGCTAGTCGCTCAGACAGTTCTTGCGCGACGGACCCTCGAGAAGCTGGAAGGCTATCTTTCTGAACTTCCAGATGGTGACCGGCCGAGTTGGTCTCTCAAGGCTGAGCTGCTTGCAGAGGCTTCCGTGTCTCGCGTTGGAGAAGCAGCCATCTCACAGCCTCTTTGCACAGCAGTTCAGATCATCTTGGTCGACATCCTGCGCTCGGCTAATGTGCAGTTTGACACCGTTGTCGGCCACTCCAGTGGCGAGATAGCAGCAGCATATGCAGCCGGATATCTCAGCGCGCGTGACGCCCTTCTCGTCGCCTACTTCAGAGGTCTACATTGCAAGCTCGCCACCAGTCCTAACGGGAACATCAAGGGGGCTATGCTTGCCGCTGGCACTTCGTTGGAGGATGCGATGGAGTTGTGTCAGGATGAAGAGTTCTTGGGCCGCATTGGCGTGGCGGCCAGCAATTCATCGTCGAGCGTGACCTTCTCCGGCGACGAGGACGCCATTGACGAGATTGCGGCAGTCCTGGCAGACGAGAAGAAGTTCAACAGACGTCTTAAAGTGGATACAGCGTATCACTCAAGTCACATGTTGCCTTGCTTTGACCCCTATGTCGCTTCGCTGCGACGTGCGGGTGTGAAAGCACTACCAGGTAATGGGGCTTGTACCTGGTTCTCTAGCGTGTACGAGGGCCGACCCATCAACCTACTCACGGACGAGGTCAGCGACATCTACTGGGCGCAGAATATGACAAAGCCTGTATTGTTCTCACAGGCTGTCCAGGCTGCTGTTGAAGTGGCGCGAGGCGCTGAGCCTCACACGGCAGTGGTTGAGGTCGGTCCACACGCTGCTCTTGCCGGACCAACCAAGCAAAACGTCAACGAGGTACTGCAGAGGGACATTCCCCACCATGAAACCCTTGTTCGTGAGGGCAATGCCATGACTGCTTTTTCTACCTGCCTTGGATTCCTCTGGACTCATCTCGACACAAGCTCAATCGACCTCGGCAGTTGCGAGGCCGCGCTCTGTGACGGCAAGCAGCAGTACTCCGTTCTGGGCAATCTGCCCAGCTATCAATGGAAGCACGAGTCTTCCTATTGGGCCGAGTCCAGAAAGTCGCGTCACATGCGCCTGCGTGCTCAGCCGTTCCACCAGCTTCTTGGTGATGTGTCTCCAGACAGCGCACCGCATATCCTGCGTTGGAAGAACGTGCTGAAGCCAAAAGAGATGGCCTGGCTCGAGGGACATCAAGTGCAAAACCAAGTTGTGTTGCCGGCTGCCTCCTATGTGTCTACAGCCATTGAAGCTGCGCGATCTCTCGCCCGAGGAAGGAACATCCAGCTCATCGAACTGAGCAACTTCCACATTCACAACGCCATCACGTTCGATCAGAATGACGTCGGCATCGAAGTCCACGTGGAGATTTCCAACATTTCCGTCCAGGGAAACCATATCCACGCCAAATTCACCTATTCTGCCGCGCTAGGAGACGAGACGAGTGATCTCGCCCTTGCAGCGAACGGTGAGCTCAAATTGTTGCTCGTCGATGAGCCACCCAATCTATCACTCTTCCCGCCACGCCGGACACCCCCGCCACACATGATTTCTGTGCAGCCGAGTCGTCTGTACAATTTTATGAAGGGGCTAGAGTACGACTTTTCAGGCGCGTTCCAATCGCTGATCAAGCTCGAGCGAAACCTAGGCAATGCTACGTGTCTGGCTCAAAAGGCGAAGGCGCTGGTTTCGAACGCAGATGAGCTGCTCGTACATCCTATCGACTTGGATGCTGCGTTCCAGTCCGTTATGCTTGCCTACAGCTATCCCGGCGATGACCAGCTTCGTCTGTTGCACCTGCCAACCAGCATAGCGAAGCTTCGCGTCAACCCCAGCGTTCTCGCGTCAAAACAGTACACCGAGAACAACATGACGGTCATTGATTCAACATGCACGACCGCGGATCGCGCAGAGCCTGGCGACGGTTTCTCAGGCAGCGTCAACATGTACGCCCCAGGTTTAGATCACGCCGCTATCCAGGTCGACCAGGTCAAGTTCAAGCCCGTTGGCTCCGATGCTAGAGTCGACCGCGATGTCTTTTACAAGATGCACTGGGTTCCTAGTGCTCCCGATGGAACGCTTGCTGCGGCTGGTGTGCCCGTGGGCAAACCAGATCACGATCTCATGTTCGTTCTGAGCCGCATTGCCGCCTACTATCTGCGCGTCTTCGACGAGCAGCTTCCCGAAGACGATCCTGCGAGGTCTACTAGCCCGCTATGTCACTACATGAACTACGCGCGACACATGACAAACCTGCTCAAGACAGGGCAGCACAAATGGGCGCATGTCGAGTGGCTGAACGACACAGAGCAGGACGTTTTTGACGATATCAAAGCCAAGGGCTTCCAGGATAACTCCGATGTCAAGATCATGTTGCTCGTCGGCACCATCATGCCCCGCGTTTTCAAGGGCGAGACGACGATGCTAGAGCACTTCCGCACCTCGGGCCTGCTTGACGAGTACTACTCTAACGGTTTCGGCACTAAGCAGTCCACCCTCTGGGTCGCGAGTGTCCTCAAGCAACTCACCGACCGCAACCCGCATCTTAACATGCTCGAGATTGGCGCTGGTACCGGCGGTGCGACTAAGACAATTCTCCAGTCTATCGGTCATGATTTTTGCAGCTACACTTTCACCGATATCTCGTCTAGTTTCTTCGAAAATGCGTCCGAGACGTTCGCGGACTGGCAGGGTAGCATGGTCTTCAAGGTGTGCAATGCTGAAATCGATCCCGTTCAGCAGGGCTTCGAGGCTGGCACTTATGACGTCGTCATTGCCTTCATGGTTGTCCACGCCTGTGCGAAACTAGACGAGGCTGTAGCGAACCTTCGCAAGCTTCTCAAACCTGGCGGTCTGCTAGTCTTGGGAGAGGGAGCCAGCGATGGCGCAATGCAAGCCGGGGCGGGTTTCATTTTCGGGACTCTGCCGGGCTGGTGGCGCGGTGTTGACGAAGGGCGTACACTCTCGCCATTGGTGAATGCCAACGACTGGAATAACATCCTGAAGGGCGCCGGATTCTCGGGCATTGACACCATGTCGCCACCAAAACTCTTCGATGCCTTTGGCATCACCCTCTTTGTGTCTACCGCTATTGATGATCGGATCGAATTCGTGCGCGATCCTCTGGCGCATAACAACAATGCTGTGTATGACACGGTCGTTGTAGTTGGAGGGTGTACAGCACCTATCGCCAAGCTCTCACAGGGCATCCAGATGGTATTGGCCCCGTTGGCCAAGCAGGTCCTCCCATACGCCTCGCTGGAAGATCTGGACAACAAAGTCCTTGAAGGCGAGTCAGTCATTGTCAGTCTCGTTGATCTGGAAGCTCCAGTTTTCAAAGACCTTACATCCGAGAGATGGTACAAGTTCAAAAAGCTCTTTGAAACAAAGCGAGAGATACTGTGGCTCACCAGCGGCCGTGTGGAGGATGAGCCATACTGCAACATGACAGTTGGTTTTGGTCGATCTGCGATGCACGAGGAAGAGACTCTTCGCGTCCAATACGTGGATGTGGCAAATGTCGATGGGCTCGATGCTCAGAAGATTGCAAAATACCTTGTTCGCTTCACTTCGACCGTTTTGGATGACAAAGACATTCTGTACACCAAAGAACCCGAGATCATCATTGACGCGCAGGGGCAAGAGCTAGTGCCAAGGCTGTTCACCATTACGGACGCCAACAACCGTCTCAACTCCACCACGCGGCCGATCTTCGACCAGGTTGACATCAGCAAGGACGTCGTCAGTCTAGAATACGGCAAAGACGGGCCAAACTTCCGACGGTTGTCGCGATACGAATTGGTAGAGACAGCGACCACAAGGGACGAGCTTATGGAGTTGCGTCTTACGTACTCCACTGCATCTGCGATTAGGTGTCCGACTGGTTATCATTATCTTGCTCTTGGGTACGACACCTCCGGGGCTCAACGGCTTGCTTTAACTAGCTCCCTGGCCTCTGTACTGCGCATCCCACGCGAATCGACCATTCTATGCGAACCATCTGGTATCCAGGAAGCTGATTACCTTGACCTGGTCGGAGCCGAGCTTATCGCCGTGGCCATTGTGGACTCCCTGTTCACAGGTCAAAAACTAGCCGTACATAATGCCCCTGAATCTATCGCTCGGGCTATTCTCGCCCATGTTGTAACCAAGGGCGTGAAGGTCACCCTCACAGTGGACTCACAGGGCACACCTGTGTCGCCAGCCGTCGCTTCGCAGATTCGGATACCAATGTTCCCCGCACGCGCGGACATCGAGGGCGTTCTACCTTCTGACCTCGTGTGCTTTGTCGACTTCTCGGCTTCGAACCAAGCTGAGAACGTGGCGATGATGACTTCGTATCTTCCTTCTTATTGCCGGAAAGAGAGCCTGAGCACCATTTTCTCAACACATGGAGTAGACACTGGTGCTCCCAAGGATGTGGTGGGACAGCTTCTGGCTAGGACTGTCAGCATGGCTAAGGGACGCGGCGTTTCTACATCATCTACACCACTGAGTCTTGAGGCCCTTGCTCAGGGAGGACGATATGCAGACGCATCAACGATCATTGAATGGGCGGGATCATGCACTGCGGTCCCTGCATGTGTCACTCGGTTTGAGTCAAACCAGCTCTTCAAGTCTGACAAGACGTACTGGCTAGTCGGTTTATCTGGCGCGCTAGGCATCTCCCTGTGCAACTGGATGATTGAGAGAGGCGTGCGCTATCTTGTGCTAACCAGCCGGAATCCCAAGATTGACCCGCGCTGGATCGAAAACCATGAACGAAATGGTGTTGTCATCAAGATACTGCTATGGTATATACTCTGCTTTCCTATCCGAACTATCTCTTACTAACGTACTCATCTCAGTGACGTGACTGACGAAAAGGCCATCAACGACGTTCATGCCGAGATTGTGACGACACTTCCTCCCATCGTCGGACTTTTGAACGGCGCTATGGTTCTGCGAGACGTGTCGGTGCGCAACATGGAATTTGACCAAGTCACCGATGTCATCAGACCAAAGGTGCTTGGCAGCATTCATATCGATCGCATCTTTCACGACATTGACCTCGACTTCTTCGTGCTTCTATCTTCGATCAACTGCGTGATCGGAAACGTCGGTCAAGCCAACTACGCCGCGGCCAACATGGGAATGATTGGAGTTGCAGGCAACCGGCGCAAGCGTGGTCTTCGCTCGTCTGTCGTCAATGTCGGCGCCATTATCGGTGTTGGTTACATCACACAGTCCGATCGCCAACTTGATGTGACAGTGGCGAAGACAGCCATGATGCATTTGTCAGAGCAAGATTTCCACCAGATCTTTGCCGAGTGCATGGAGGCAGGTCACCTGGACAACCCCAGTGGCCCGGAGATCTCGACCGGTCTACTCCAAATCACTCCGAATACCATTGACATTCCGCCATGGTACTCCGACCCCAAGTTTGCCCGTTTCCGCATCAACAAGTCTGGTGATAGTGGCGAAAAACCGGGGTCGACAAACTCGGCATCCACCCAGGAGCTGCTGCAGGCGTGTCGCTCCCCGTCCGATGTTGCAAATGTGATCAAGCAGACCTATTGCGCCCAGCTACGCAAGATGCTGCAGGTCTCCACCGTTGACGACGACCTGATGATGATGCGAGGTGTGGATCTTGGTTTCGACTCGCTGCTTTCAGTCGACGTACGCTCGTGGTTCCTCAAGAACTTCCGCGTCAGTATTCCGGTCCTCAAGATCATGGCCAACGATGTGCGCATGTGTAGCTTGGTCGAGCTAGCCGCTGGAAGCATCCCCGCGGAACTCGTGCCACAGGCTCAGCAATTGAACGTCGTATCGACTGGCGCTTCGACACCGAATACTGAGAACAGTGAGCCGTCGGCTCGAACCAGTGACGCTGATACGACGAGCACCCGCACTACTCTACCTAACACTTCGGGCACAGTGACTCCTGACAAAGAGGTCAAGGCCAAGTCTGCCAGCCCTCCGACGGTAGACTGGTACTTTGAGACCACCCCGCCTGAGCCCTTTACTATCGACAGGCTCATGGATGCGCCCAAACCAAAGGGGAATCCAGAAGTTGTCGTCCTCACTGGCTGCAGCGGCCTGCTTGGCCACCACCTTCTCAACGCGCTCGTGGCGCAACCGTCGATCCGGAAGATCATCTGCCTTGCAGTCCGACGCCTGAACGAGCGCATCGGAAGTGGAGAGATTCCCGCACCAAGCGAGCGCATTGTGTACTACGAAGGTGACCTCACATCTACCTATTTCGGCCTAGACATTGCGACCTGGGCGTCTGTCTTCCGTGAGACTGACGCAGTCATCCACAACGGCTCCGACACGTCCCATCTGAAGTACTACTCTGCACTGAAGCGCGCAAATGTCGACTCGACAAAACAGCTCATCGCCACCTGTCTACAGCGCATGATTCCCCTTCACTACGTTTCATCGGCTGGTGTAGCACTTTTCGCCGAGCTGGAAGCCTTCCCACCGATTTCATGCACCAAGACGGGTAAGACACCACCAGCCGACGGCACGCACGGCTACATGTGTGGAAAATGGACGTGCGAGAAAATGCTCGAGCGAGTCTACGAAAAATACGGTTTGCGCATTGTCATTCAACGTCCGTCGACCATTATCCGCGACGGCGAAGACGCAACTGTTGAGCGTGCGGGCTTCGATTGGGTCAACTCGCTCCTGCACTTTGCACACAAGACGCAGACGGTGCCGAGAGTTGATTACAACGCCGGCGCTTTCGATCTCGTGTCTGTCGAAACGTGCTGCGAGGATGTTGTTCGAGAGTTACCAGACCAAGGGCGCCATGGCATTACGTACGTGAACAACGTGGGTGATGTAGTGATTCCCATGGCGCAGATGGCGGATGTGGGGTTGAGCAAGGTTGGGAAAAGGTATGAAGTTTTGCCTATGGAACAGTGGACGGCGATGGCGGTGGAGGCGGGTATGCATCCTGCTGTTGCGGCATTGATTGAGACTTTTGATGAGCCCGGGGTAGAGAGATACCCGGCGCTGTTGAAGTCGGGTGCGTAGATACCCAGTATTCCGCCTCTTTGACCTACCGAGAATCGAACTTTAGATGAACAATGTTGTTGTTACAACCGCGATCTGAACTAAGGTCGCAACTATCTATACCTGTTTTGCGAGCAATAATGTATAGGGCCGAAGTCTCGTTGTATCGTCTGCGGGCAAAGACGCAACCGATCGGCGTCATTTCGAACGCAGCGACGACATGGTTATTTACTTTCACCGTACCTTATATGTACAACACCGATTCTGATAGCCTATGTGCCCGCACTAGATTTATGTTCATGGGAAGTCTAATGCTTCTGCTGATTGGCTCTTGATTCATTGTGCCGGATCTGCATGGTTTGAATACAAATGAAGTCGACTGGTTGTATGCACAGAAGACTTTGCTAAGACTTTTCCAGCAGCATGCCGATAGCGCAAAGATCAGCGCAGCAGAGAAGGTACACAATACCGATGTATAAACGAGGGGGGTGCGCAGTGTGTTATTTAGACCGATTACCCTTTGTCCTCCAAATATGCATTTTCGACCTCTGTTATTGTTAATTTGACTTGTGTGACAGAATATCACGCTAGCTACCGTAGCTAAGCGTGGAGACCACGCTAAAACGTGATTTTGCTCAGCTACAGACGGCTCACCACTTGGCGTGTTACGCGTCTAAAACAGGCAGCTATTTCAGCCCGCAATTGCCTCGGTACAAACCTAAGGCAGCCATCAAAACTTCCTTTTCAACAACAACCACTGTGGGCCGCCAAGATATACTATCAAGAAGTGGCACGTATACCTCGGCCTCAGGCGCGTGTCATGGCGCGAACCAGCAGCGACCTCACCCTCTATAAAACGCCGATGCAACGGTACATTCGTCGACACAAATCATGGCAAGCATTCCTCCACCTCCGCCCCCTCTACCTAAGAGCAAAACCGATAGATCAACAACGATGACTGCTTCGGAACCCGCGTCCCATCCATTTTCAATCAAGGGTAGCACGAAGGAGGATCAAGTGTTCGAATTCCACGACATACAGGGTGGCGCTGGTGCCTTATCCCTCCAGCCCATCATCCGCCATTACCTTGGCGTACCCCGGGCGCATCAAGTTCCCACGACCGATCTGTACAAAATATTGGGACGACTACGGAGCTTGCAACATACAGTTGCGAACTACAATGAGGGGGTCGTCTTATTTACACCTGCCTTCTTGCACTACTGGAGACCACGGACCTTGAATCTCTTCTCAGGCTTCGGTTTCCGTCTCAGTGGGGTTGACCAAGTCATCCAAATACCGGGGCTTGAAGACGTGATCCGGATCGTCGAGCATGCCTTTCAAGAGCAGATTGATGAAGCGCGTGACACCATCCAACGCGGTTTCATCACCTTCGAGGCACTGGGCGAATTGTATCGCCCTGGAGTTCCAGTCCAGGCAGTGATGGGCTCTGGAGATACGGCCGCAGTCTTTCTTGTCAACGAGTGTTTCTATCAAGAGAATCGGGGCTTAACAGGAGTGCAGAGGACATTCAACTGGACAATAGAGTTCGTGGCGACAATGGGTACGCACTTCACCGTAGTGAATGTGACCGAGCAATTGAATGGCTGGACAGGCGTTCGCGCAAGATCGCTATCGGAACTCACGTATACGCCGGTATCACCTGTCGAGTTGAGCGAACTGAGACAGAGAGGAGAGCGATATGTTGAGTTTGCCACTAGCGGTGCCAAATTTCTGGCATATTCTCGCGGATCATTCTACCGCCATGTGCGACCCTCACGTCCAAGCTATTCTTCTCTTGCCAGTACGTCGAGCAACCAGCTTCCTTCAGAAGGCCGTGTCATGATCGATGTAGATCGCGGCGCTCTGCTGAACCACCATCCTTGCCAGGGTATGGATGAATCAACCCTGGCCATGACGAAGACCGCCGAACGTTATCGACAGTGGCGCAACACATCATCTAGAAAGAGTTCTGCAACGGATGTACTCAATCTGTGGGAAACGGTCCCTGACGAGTTCATCCCCTACTGCTGGCCTGCTCTTGTCGGCTTTAGCTTTACTGCAAAATGCTGGGGCCACGTGTTGGTCTCAGGTCTTTCGCCGATCCAGTTCCAGGACACCGCATTCCAACATCTTGTTCTAGCCGAGGAGTACAAACACCTCATCCGTGCTCTCGTAAGATTCGGAAACGACGCCAGTGTCGAAGACATCGTTGAGAACAAACGCAGCGGCAGTATCTTCCTGCTCCACGGCCCTCCCGGCGTCGGGAAGACACTAACAGCCGAAGCTGTTGCTGAAGTCCTGCATCGCCCGTTATACTACGTTACAATGGGAGAATTAGGCACTACGGCAGAAGATATGGAACGCCGTCTTTCAGATGTGCTTGAATTATGTTCCGAGTGGAATGCTATCATAGTTCTAGACGAAGCCGATGTGTTCCTCGAACAACGCCGCACTTCCGACCTGGTCCGAAACTCGATGGTCTGCGTTATGCTGCGTCTCTTGGAGTACCATTCAGGCATTCTCTTCCTCACTACCAACCGCGTGCGTAATCTGGATCCAGCGTTTGAAAGCAGAATTACACTTGCCCTACGATATAACCATCTGACGCCCGAGGCTAGAGCCCAAATCTGGAGCAATTTGCTCAAACGGATCTCGTTACAGGTGGCAAAGGATATCGATCCTATGGTCCTTGGACAGCATGAATTCAACGGTAGACAGATCAAGAGCGCAATCAGGCTGGCGTGTGCAATCACGAAGGAACGGGACCAATCTAAGCTGACAATGGAAATTGTGAAGGAAGTAGTGAGAATCATGGAAGTTGGGAGGGCGAATATAGCGGATGACGATTCTTGGAAAATGCGCGAGGGGTAAGATAAGTCTTATTCAGGGTTTTGCATCCTGTAATAGCTAGTAAAGAGAGTAAGAATTTAAGATTTGTTCGCTAAAGGAAATCCTCCTTTCTTATATGCTCCAATAACAAAGTATCGGATACATCTGCTCTAAGAACTCTGTGGACCGGCGCACTTCCTACCTCAAGCTTGTCTCCTAACTCTGTACGCCACCTCTCCACCATAAAGGAGCCTCTTATTAGTCTAACCTAGGCAGGAAACAGCAATCTCACCATTGATGTTCCTATCGGGGGTAAGGACGGGGAGCCAGATCTCGTATTCCTTCTCACTAGGGTGTCCCTTGACCTCATAGTAGTTGTAGAGAGGCCAGAAGGTAATTTGACCCTGGTTTGGGCAGTCGACGTTAAACGTGAGCCCTTCAGTGACAGTAAACGTCTCCGACTGGCTGACTTCCACACCGACGCTTGCAGAGAAAACTTCAATAGCGCCTCCCATGCTCACTGAGGTTGTAACGCTGTAGGTCTGGCTTTCGGAAACTTCGTATGAGTAGTCGACCCCGCTGTTAAGGCGCAAACCAAGCGTGAAGACATCAGGGTTGCGGACGTTGAGCGCCGTGAAGCTTACGTCCCAGCTGTCATCCTCACTCTGTCGCTTAGCAATTCCAGCAGTGTCGGTGCCGCTCATGGTGTCGTTGCGCCACTCAAGGTAATCCTCCAGGCTAGAGTGGCCACTGTTCATGCCATTGGTAAAGGTTTCCACGTTGAGGCCGGGAAACTCTGCTCGTTTCATCGCGCGCTTAGTCGGGGGACCATCACCTCCCTCATCGTTGGTGACCTCCAGAAACTGCAGGGCGCCAGTGAACTTGCCTCCAGAAATGAAGGGCATGCATCTGTCCCTCACGCTTGTATAGAGCTGGTGAACCTGACCATCTGTAATGGTGCGAGGGTTATTTGGGTCGTCAGACCCTGATTCTTGGAAGCAGTGGGAGATGAGGCAGTTTCCGCCGTCCCACCACCAGTGGTAGCAAGATGGCGCAGCGTTAAGCTCGCCGTTGGTGTGGGTGATGTGAGTGCTTCCCTCTAGGTTGAAAAACTTTACGGTCTCTTCACCTGGAGAAACAAAGTGTTAGATTCAGGCCACAGCAAACAGCCTAAACGAGCCGAACTTACAATCGTCGTAGTTGGGCCTGAATGCGCCATTGCATAGAGCCGCTTGGCCATGTACGAGCCCGAGACCCGCCGCGAAGGAGACAAGGGTGAAGCTCTTCATTTTGAAGAGGCTGTCGGAATGTACAGATAGAGACTCGTGTCCGTAGAGTATTCGCTGTGGTTGATAGAGAGAGCTGCTGATGAGAGAAGATGCAGGCTGGCACTACAGGACATCAGTCTGTTCTTATAGCTATCTCGTCAGGCCTCCAGACTCGTGGAGTCTCTCATAACGCCCGGCTGAGGTTACATGTGGTGAAGCACGTCCTGTTGCTACACATGCTGTTGTCATGGCCTCGCGCGGGATGATTGTCTTCAGGAACGTGCGATCCTATCTGAGCCAAGAGTGTTGATGACATTCACGACTGGACGGATCGAGATCATCGTGGGAAAGGTCTAGTTCGTGATTCGTGTCTCGGAGCCTCCGGTTGTTGGGTTTAACGTTATGGGGTGGTGATCACCCATGCGGTCTTTGCAAACAATAGCACGATGGAACATCATGAGAGTAGTTCGCATCGCCTACGACTATAGTGCCCGAAGTTCTGCAGAAGTCCATCTGGGCGCCCAGACTATTTGGGGCGAAGAGCGAGCCTTGATCTAGTACCTGAGGCTTAGCCTACGTCAGAAGGCTACCGACAGTAGCACCGAAGTGGTGCAAGGGGTACGCACATAAACGTGGTAAGCTGGAAGCCTAATAGTAAAGGCCATGGTATCGCGTCTCTGAGGCGAAGCTGTACGTAGCCTCATGGAAGGATAAATCGGCTACACGGCAGATTAACAGGGCTAGATACCCATCCCACCGGAAAACGGCACGCCTACCTACCTATATTACTGTCACTTTGTGACAAGGTGTGCATGGACCTGTTATCTCATGTTCGATCGATTCGTTGCTCCACAACAAGAGTGGACCAAGGTGGGATCGGCTGCGGCCCGCTCCTTGCTCGAGTAGGCACAGTGAGGCCGTAAACTGTCGACATGCATCCCCTTAGGGTATAGTTGTGGGGTATATCTCGCCTACTACTTCCTAAGCTTGCAAGCGAACGAACCAATCACGATGATGTCGAGCGTACAACCAACAAGGCGACCCACGTAGTCAACTTTCGCGACGCCCGTCTGCCTTGGAAATGCAAGGCTGATTATTGTCGTGTATGATGGAACCAGCGCATCAGGATGTAGCATTCTCGCACGACAGTCCAGTCACGATCCAGGTGCTGCTACAATTGGTAAGGTCGTGATGCGCACGAGGCAGGAGGCCTAAAGTAGGAATGCCTTACCCCAACAATTCTGCTGATGAACCCGTTGGCACAGACATCGGCTCGTGCGCCAAATTCTCCAAGAGCTCTCGTGTCGCCTGGTATGGCGATATCACCTTATACACGTTCGGTTCCATGTGCGCCCTTGTATGCGCAATCTTGACCCCCGGGGTTGCGTTGGGGGTATATGTACCCAAATTCCGCGTCCGCAATGACAATATCGAGGTGCTAGATTCTGTGTCCTCACTGCAGCTCAGTAACGGCCTCCTGTGCGTCCTGTTCGATGCTTGCATCAAGCTTCACTATCATGAGCTGGCTTTTGAGACCTATAGAAATCTTTTGTAGTGCATGTGTTAGGGTTAGGGTTAGGGTTAGGGTTAGGGTTAGGGTTAGGTTAGGGTTAGGGTTAGGGTTAGGGTTAGGGTTAGGGTTAGGGTTAGGGTTAGGGTTAGGGTTAGGGTTAGGGTTAGGGTTAGGGTT